ACGAGGAGGAAGAGTGAGGACGAGACACCGAGCGACGACGACCCGAGGGAAGGGGGGCCGAGAAGGGAAAGAGTTGAAGGGCAAAGCACCCGAAGGCACGGCACCCCGGGGAAGAGGGGTCGAGAAGGGAAAAAGTTGAAGGGGCAAAGTTTCCGAAGGTATGGTACTTTTGAAGAGAATTTAAATGTATCATAGCAAAATGTGATGATTTTTTTTCCCTAAATGCTCTCTTGCCTGGTGAGAGGACAAGAGGGATATGGATGAATGAGGAGGAACGAGGAGAAATGGGGAGGGAGGAAATAGGGGGGCTTTATACCCCTGAGCGGCCAAATTTTGGGAAGAAATTTACCCCCCGGAGAGGATATCCCCTCCTAAGTTCTGTGGCCCGGGGATATCTTGTGATATCATGGGCTGATGGTAATGTGGAAGCTGACGTCCTCCTCAAGATAAGATCCTCACATTAAGATAAAGGACATCCTAAAAAGGGAATTCCAATTCCAGATCCAGCACTTTTTGCATTTCCATATCTTAAAAGTGCAATCTTGCTCTCACTGGATTTTGCAGTCAAACCTCACTGTCCCGGAATTTGATAATACGTATACCTGGCTGTCCCGTGTGGGTTCCTGTGAATCTAGGAGAATTTTGCACCAAAACTTGACCCGTTGTCCCGGATAGGCTCTTCAGAATTGGTGGTCCGGGATAGCTAGGTACCACTGTGTTCTGGTGGAGCATATGGGAAATTATACAAGCTTCCCTTGCATCATGATGTTTCTAGCCAAGGCCTACCTATTGGAACGGGAATTACAAAAGATGGGTTGCGGTGTTTCGTTAGGATACAGCGAGTGTGGGAAGAAAATTGGAGGAGGAGGGAGGGAGACAGGACTCCAACCTGACTCTTGAGCATATTGCTCCGGGCTCTTTTCCGCGGACCGGTTGTCCACCGGGCACAGGATAGGTAAATATGGCTCCCAGCTGTTGAATTCTCGTTCCAATTTAGATCCTAGCTTGGTATGGTCATACTAGGATAGAATTGTCTGGCAAGGTATCATACTGGAGTACGGGCTGCTCAGTTTATGCCTCTATGGATGCTCGGGAATCACAGCTTTAAGATTGGATCATTTGAGTCACTACTCCACAATACAACTACCGTAAAAACCTAAATAATCGAACCATGTGCTGCGTCGCTGGAGCTGCTTCCTCTGGTATGGTATGGTCCAGCGCCTTGTTTTTGTTTTCTATGCTTCTCAGGAGGACTGAGGTGCTTATTTTTTTTTGCTGTTTTTTTTGGGCCTTTTCCAAAGTAGGGAACTCTCAACCTCATAGCACACGCCTCAATTATTTGAGTTTATACGGTAATATGCATCCACTATAGGCAGATGGGTGGGTGTGGGACGTTTGTGCCTCAAGCTACAAGTATGGTCAATCATCAGGTTGCCGGTTGTCGGTGCCAGTGCTACAACATCCAGCTTCCCCAAAGGGTTAGGTCAAATACCGGTAGCCAGCAGCTTAGCACTCGTGCACAACCCTAACCCACTTGATGAACCCAATCACAGACCAAACCTGCCCCACCACTTAATAATAATACCGGTAGACTTTCCCACCACCACCACCACCACTACCATCACGATGCTGCATGAGCTATTTCTATTACTCTCTGGGCACCCATCGCCACTACTCACCCCCTCTGGCCTTCCACCCTCTTTCCCGCTGGTATCTCCATCCGAAAGGTCTCTTGGCCCCTCAATTCTTCGGACAACAGCTGACGGAGGTTAGTTAGGGCCCTACTCTCCTCGTTATCCTCTCTTGGGCATCTCCACATCTCCCTCCGGGATGCTTGTTCCGTCATCACCACCGCCCATCCCTCGACCATCGCACGCGCGGTTGCGAGCGGTATTTCTACATTCCACCTGCATGCTTTCCGTGCACGAATTCTCTCCGTCGAGCAGCAGGTGCTCTCACGATCTGCCGGTATAGTCGGTGGTTACGACATTGTGTCGCTGGCGAAAATAATGTCCGGGTTTGAGGGGTGGGAGAGAACATTGTCTTACTTGCATTCGCTTACATCCGCCGTGGGGGAAATGAGTGGGGGGCAACTGATCAACCGACTGCGAGCGGATATTCACACTGGCTTCCCGACATTAGAGGCTGTATCGCTGCATCTCCTCAAGATTGCTGAGACGGCCTGGCTACGGGAAGTTTCAACGTGGATTTTGTATGGGAGGCTCCCTAGTTCTAAGGATTTCTTCATTACGGAGTCGGAGTCCGTAGTGTTGAATCCCGTGAACGAGGAGGAGGCTGGTGTGCTGAAGGAATATACTGTGGCAAAATCACGCCTACCTTCCTTTGTGACCTCAGATACAGCCTCTTCCATATTATTTATTGGACGCGCCCTCTCCATAATTCGACTGCGAGGTGGAGCAAATACTGAAATTGCATCCGACACAATTAGTCCGGAAATGACGCTTCTTCCTGTACATTTGTCGCATCTGCAGTCCCTTCAGTCCCCGCTGTCACCTCAGAAACTTCTTACTGCGGTTTCGGAGATACGGCTGTCCTTGTCAAAGCATACCTTACAAACGCTTCTACCGGCTTCGAAGATTATTGACGTAGTTCATGTCCTGCGAGAATTCTTTCTCCTCGGCCGTGGGGAGTTTGCCGGTGCCATAGTTGAACAAGCATCTGAGCAAGTACGCAATCGATGGCGCCGTCCTGGCGCTGGCGGGGTCACGGGCGCACCGGGCGTGAAATTCAGTTCGAGTAGCGCCGTTGTCAAAGAGGGCGAAGTGTCATCGATACTGACAAGAACCTGGGGGGTACTTTCTTCACTTCAAGGGGAGGAGACCACGGATGAGAGATTAGACACCGCCAGGGATCTTCTATACTTGTCCCTTGTCAAGCCCCCGCCCGCGGCTTCCGCGGCTTCAACGCCCGTTCATCCAAGAGCTAAACTTGGAGAGTCATTCAAGGATCTCTTGGTTGGTGTTCCAATCACACTGAATTTCCATCTTAGCTGGCCATTGGAACTCTTTCTACAACCGGCAGATTTGGAGGCCTATGATGCTATCTTCGCATATCTTGTATCTGTTCGCCGCGCTTTGATTAGGTTGCAAGCCTTATGGCGTGGTAGACGATATCCACCCTCTCCCCTGGCATTTTCCAGGAGTGAAAATAGAGCAGCAGCAAAAGCACGCAGGGAGGTGATCAAGAAACGCGAGAGTATTGAGAGGGTTGTTTGGGCGACAGCTGGCCTAAATGTGTTTTTCCTAGAAACACTGATCGGCTACTGGCAAGGAGAGGTGGTGGAAGGCGCCTTTGGCGCGTTAATGGAGGTTCTGGATCAAGGCCAAGAGGAGGCCCCGGAGGAACGGCAGCAGCAGCAAGAAAACGAAGACGAAGATGGGGATGTCTGGATGGCGGAAGGAGAGGGCGAAGACTTCAGGGGTGCTGAGGAGAAGAGCAAAGAACAGCAAGACCCCGAGTCATTGATGCGGGAACATCACCTCTATCTCTCCCAGCTGAAGCGAGGATTGTTCTTGGCCGATCATCAGTTTGCACCCCTACTTAAAAAGTTTCTAATTGCTTCTGAAGCCCTCGCTTCCCGTATCGAACGCATGGGTCGGAGGAACCATCTCACTGATTTGAATATTACCCCCGATGCTAGCACTAACGATAGGGAAGTGGCGGAGTGCATGGCAAGCTGTAGACTAGTGAGAAATTTACTGGGCATGCTGGTTGAGAGGCTGCAAAGAATGGATGAAGAGAGGGATATTGGGGGCGGCGAACTGCAGTTTTCCGGCAAAAAGGGTGGTGGGGGAGTTGGGAAGATCGATAGGTTGCTTATGAGGCTGGACATGGCTAACCTACGATTGGGGGATTAATACCATAGTATAGCTGTTGAGCCCTCTATATTAGTGCGACGAAAGGCTCACGAATTAATAGTCCGGATAATAATACGTAGCAAGAGTGCGGTAACAGGCATTTCCCATCCGGCGAGAGTTGATGTAAGTAACCAATTGGATCGTCATCTAGCCATCCCACCCCACCATGACATCGTGACCCATCACTCCTCATAACACTTAGACCACCTTCCAGCTCACCACTAAAAATCCCTTCCACCCTGCACATGGCCATCACCGCCCCCGTCACTATTTGCTTCCCCTGCCCCACATGCTCTCACACACCCTATCCTTCATCCGGGACCCAAGTTTGCCTATTATGTTCACCCTTGTTCATAACTAACTAAACCCCCTTCCAACGGCACCCTTTTGTCAGCATCTCTCCTACAATCAATCTTGTTCCGAATCCGAACATCAATTAACAATCCTTCCCTCCCTTTTCACAATGCCAGCGAAAGCTCCCATAGACGAGAACGTGAAGTTCCTGTTCGCATGTCTTATCAGGAGTGATTATAAAACTGTTTGTTTCCCCCCTCTTCACCCGTTGTGGGATGCCGGGAGAAGTCTAATACAAAATAAGTAGATCGACTTCACCCGCGTGGCAGCAGACTTCAGTATCAACCCTGCGGCAGCCAGGATGCGCTGGAGCAGGCTCAAGAAGACCATCAATGTAGATGACATTGCCTCTTCGATACTGGACGGGAAGAAGAAGAGGATGAGTAAGCCTCGGTCATCCCCACCTTGTTCCGTTAAGGTGGAAATAGTCGAGAACGATACTTTGGAACCTCCTCCCGCTGCCTCAGCAGTGGGAATTACGTTTAAGGTGGAGGAGGAAGTCCCGCCGGAGGGATTGGCGCCGGTGCTATTCGCTGGCTTGCCAAAACCGCCGAACCCCAAGAGGGCCAGGGCCGAGGAGCAGGTTGCTATACCAGTTGTTGACGAAGCGGCGGGGGCGGTAGGCAGATTCGCCGCGACGCGGGTTCCACATCTACCCAGAGTTGCCGAGGCCACGGCGATAGCAGATCCAGAGACCAAACCACAACCTCGCACGCCCCAGAAAACCCCTCCGGAGGAGGTAGTCCAAGCTTCCCTTACACTCAAGTCTGAGCCAAAGGCTCGGTTTGAGGAGGAGGAAAAAGCCATGAAGTGCGAACCTCTCCCAACCGACACGATACGTGAAAACGCCGGTAATGCGGTAATGGTCCTCAAGTCCAACGGGTCGAAAAAGAGGAAAGTGGAGAGCATGTAATGGCTATTTGAGAGACATAAAACACCTAGAGTCATTGGGAGAATAAGGACTCCGTGCTGAAATTGTTTGGAAGCAGGAGACCGGGTTGTTGTCGTTGACGAGTATTGGCCATTCCTTTATTTTATTTTCCCCACCTGTTTTATCCCCCCATATCTGGAATTTCCGGGCATCTGCCATCTCCTTCACCCCAAATCATGTTAAAATACTTCACCCCCAATACTATAGAAGCTATCGATAAGGTGAGCAGCGAACGTTGCGATGCACCACTGATTTTCATTTGCCACCAAGTTAGCCCATGGGCCTGAGGCGCTTTGGGAAATCCAGGGTTTCAGCATCTACCCAAGAGCCAAGATCCACTTTCGTAATCCATGACCAGAACTAGCTCGTCGCATCAGAGACGGTGCTTGTGGCTTGCTAACGCTTTCGGTCACCGTGCGAGTGTTGGGCTACCACCCACTTTTCAGACCGCAGTTGAAGTAGAGAGGAGGATTTAATTAGGTACTTTTCGTAAAGAGTCCTGGATCCTCTTAGTGAGCGAGAGTTGTTAACCGTGAATTGGCTTAATTTACCATCATCCTATCACCAAAGTGGATGACAACTATATACTATAGAAAGCCCCAACCGACCAGATATCCATCTGGTGGCTACACTCCTTCTAATCCATGCCGCTCCTCATTCCTTCAAATCCACTGGCATACCACTCCTCGTAATGCCTTGCATAAGTCCATACCGTTCCTTGACATTCCTCCTCGCATAAGTCTAGACCGCTCCTCCCATGAGTTTATCAGGAAGCTCCTGACAACCCCTACCATATCACAACAGCAGTTATGAGCCTATGCCCGAGTGATAGTCTATGCATGTTGACTAGTGACATTGACCAAGCAACCTAGAGGCTCGTACTCGTAAGCTTGGGCTTCATCTGCTTCGGTATGTAGCACATTGCCGTTTTGCATGCACGGTTTATGGTAGATTATCTTGCAAGGGCCGTGCCCCATTCTACAAGTCACCGCACATTTACCACAGACTAGATATCCGGATCAGGCAACTCTCTTTTTCCCTTGGACTATAGACATCCGGCCTTTGTAAGACCCAAATCAAATTAGAATGGAAGAGGGAGCACATTTTTTATAATCATTGTGTAAAACCTGCAGTACAAATCAATTTTACTACAAGGTGCACCTATGAAACCGTAAAAAGCAAGAAAACCAGTTTCACCCTCTAAGAAGAAAACAGATCCAATGGCAAACAGCATCTACCTAACAATAGCGCCTACTAGAGATTTAACCCCGCAGATACCGCCACTCTCTGTAACCAACCTGCCCGTCTGGCCTTCTCCCGGAGCTTTCCCTTGTGCTGCGTCTCCAGTCCATCCTGCTTTCTCCCTGTCAAAGACTACATACAAATCAGATGTAGTGGCAAAGCCAGGCTGGATTTGCTCCCAAATCTTCTTCTTGGGGTTCAATACTGCCTCGGGCTCGGCCTTATATCCTTCAAAGTATACCCTCTCGCCGGCAATAGCACCCTCAGGCGGTGCTACAAGCTCCACGGTCTCCTTTTTGTGTGCGGTTGGGTCCTCACCCGGAACGGGTGCCGGTGAGGCTGCAAGTACCATGGCTGCGGACTTGATTCCCCGCATGGTCACGGGCTTGAGGTTTGCGACGACAACAACCTTACGGTCTTGCATCTCCTCGATTGGGACAAGACCATTCAGCCCAGAGCAGACCGTGCGGACGGTTGGAAGGGGGGTAAATTTCGCGAGAACTGTGCCTGGGAGGGACAGCTCGGAATGGGGAGTCACAAGAGGAGAACCCTCGGGATCGCCCATTGAGATTGTAGAAACAAACAGGGAGTCGGCATTTGGGTGAGGCACACAATAGAGGATGTGCCCGACGCGGAGATCGATTTGAGAGGGAGAAATAACCGGCTCTAGTAAACATAAGTTTGACCCGATTTCGATATGTGAAGCAACAAGGCGTCATAATTACCTTCCTTTTTGGGAGCCTCCCTCTTCGTTTTCTCCCTCTTTTCCCTCTTGGATTGCTTATCCTCACCAGTCACCGTGGCAGCAGCCCTTCCTGCTACGTCTTTGACACCCTCCTTCGCCTTTCCAACTTCCTCCTTAACCCTCTCCACAGCTACCCTACCCTTCCCCTTCTTCCTTGAGTCCTCACCAGCCGCCGCTCCCTCTTTCTTCTTTTCCTTGACGGGTTCCTCAGGCTTCAGGTAAAACAGCACCTTGCTAGGATCCACAGCAACTCTCTCCCCCGCAGGAATTTGTAATGCCAAACCCGGAGTGTTCTGAACAAAATCAATCCAACGGACAATGTACCTATAACCCTTTTCACCCGTCCTCTGCTCGTCATTCCACGAAGCCACCTGACCCTTGATGCGGGCGTAAACGGCAACATCAGCAATTGACAGCTTCTCGCCGAGAATGGTGGTGCGAAATTTCAGGTTCCCGTCCAACCGAGCAATGGTCCCCTCCGGAATGGGGGTGGTGGATGTTAAGGTCAGCCATTGATGAATTTCAGCGGACTCCAAGTCGGTGTACGCCGTCTCCGCAAACAACGGGATCAGGGTGGAGAGATGAGAAACAATGGTGTTAGTTCCGGCAACAGCATCGTTGTTCGGTAGTGTCAGACGAGAAACGGCGGGCTTTTCCTCGGCGGAGATGGCAATCGGGAGTGACTTGTACGACGAGAGAATAAGGGGCAGGGTAACGTCGGACGGAGAGACCGAGAGAACCGGCAATGCCATGGTCCTTTGTATTCCGGTGGAATAGTAATACAAGGTTTGGCGGGAGGAAACTCGACGGGAAAGCGTACGAGTAAGATATCGAGCCACCAGGGAAGACAGGGCGGTTGTTTGTCTGAAAGGAATATTGGCGGTGATTGAGATATTATGAGATGACTCCCTGTCTCTGGTGTTGCGGGGTGATTGAGAGTTTACCATGACCAACCTTGCCAAGACAAGTGCCCCTCCAAATCTTCCCAAACCCAGGAGGGCTCAGGGTTCAGGGGTGCAGCAGGGAGAGCTCTAAGCTCACCACAAGTATCATATCATATGTATGATAGCCACACTCCACCGCAGCGCAAGCTATAACAGCATACCATATAATACAGCGCATTATATGGGCTGAGAACAGATTTGTGCAGGGCGCTCTACGTATTTATTCTCAAAACGAACACTAATCGCGGCCCACAAGGCCCCATATCAAGAATCCCCCGGAACCCAATCAATGAAGACCGCAGTTTTCACAGCACACCTCTTTCCCGTACTCAACCGCGGCATTATCCCCCAAGTGCCCGTCCAGATCATCTATACCGTCCCACGCAAACTTCCTCTGACCAAAGTTGACGGAAACCTTTGCCCCAGCACTGCCCATCCCTATCATGGGCCAAATGCGAAGCCCCTCCTTGAGCGAGAAAGCGGGGCCTGGAGAACGGATCAGCTCGGTTCCAGGACGGGAATCCGGTAGCCCTACCAAGATACTCGGCATTCAAAGTATAGAAGGCAAAGCCCCTCTTGAAATCTATCCCACAGCCGACGACATCCCCAGTACCGTACATGGGGCCGTATTTCAACCCCTGAGAACGTCCGGGGAACTTGGCCCCATCGTCGGCGTGATATCCCCACGCATCCACCTCCCAGCCCGGCATTCCATTCAGTGAAGCGTCCTTAGCGCAGAAACCGAGACCGATCCTCTTGCCGTCACCCTCATCCACGACCGTCATCTCGTAGTAGTAGGTGCGGTCGTGGTCGACGGGAATGAAAGTGTTGGCACGGGCGCATTGAGAGGCAGTTCCCCAGCGCGCTTTTTCTCATCAGCCATCCATTCTCACAATTGAAGGTGGGGCCTTGAACAGCTACCTGGGAGAGAAATGGTAAGGCCACTGTCCTCAATGGTCAATCCAGGAGCCTTGTCCTCGTCGGTGAAAAGTGATGGGGAAGGGATCTTGTGCATTTTGGATTTGGAAACTTTTTTAATTCTTTCAATTTTTTTTCCTTCCTTCCAAAGAGTAGGTTGTTTCCGGACAGTTGCTGGAAAAACCCGAAAGGGGGAAGAAGGGTTGGATGGTTTTAAAGGAAGCGGTGCTAAACTCCAAATGCACTTTTGAGGGTGACTCGCGACGGTTCGAGTTGGTACGGCTGAGCGGCGTGCCGTCTTAGGCAGCGTATGGGGCATGTCCACGGTAGACAACGAGGCTGAGCCCGGGAGCCCGTGTTTGAATCTTGCAGAGTTCCATGGCACCCCGCGATGTGACTCAACCGATCGACTCTGTGTCTTGAGGAAGGATCAGTGGATCCGCCCGAGGTACTGAACTGTACTCGTACAGTAACCTTGCTGACACCCAACCGTATTACATCTCGACACCCGCGCCAATGATATCGACTCTGATGCAACAATGCCATTTACCACACCCCCAAACCGTCTTCTGATTCTCATCGCGGCGGGGGGTGCGGCACCCACTCAGGAAGGAAAAGAAAGAAAAATCGGCAATGTTACCCTTGATACCAGCAGCCGTCGATTGAATCTCAAAATGCGATATCGACTTATGTATCTTGCTGACGGTGGCCCACGGCAAAGCAAGAGCAGTGACGCGGGAAACGCCCATATAATCTTTATAGGACTGGGCTTATTTTATTTGTGTGGCTATTCTCACCATACAGTGCGCTCGCTCCACCGTAGAATACCATATTATCATACTGCGTGCACGAGCACAGTACTCACTCGTTATCACTCGCAACTTCACGCGCAGAATTCTCAGGCGCCCAAACTCCCAGCCAAATCTGAATCAGGCCTCCCAAGAATTCGCTCATCCCCCCCCCCCTTTTTGCCCACCTTGCCTCACGAGCACGACAACGAGACTCCCCTTCCCAGCACGTACTAAGGTACGATACTCTCTGCTCCCGACTTGAGGCTCCACGCTCTTATCCTACCCGTGCACGAGGAGTGAGCCGTAACACTCGCAAAAAATCCCAAGCTCGGGTAGAACTTTACATAGATTTGGATAATGGACTTGACACCGTTCTTCACACCACAGAGCAAACAACAGGAAAAGCCATCACCGACTAGGTGAGAAGGCCCACGGCAACCCACAGGTTTCCGGTATATCTCGTTGCTTCTCAGTTAAACATAGATGGACACAACTGTCCAAGCGCTCCCGGCCTCTCCCGGCGATCTCCGGTTGTCGAATCTGAATGCGCCAGTGATCGCCAATGCTCACCATTTGTTGTCAGGGTGCAGTTCCAGAGGTAAGATAATAGTCTACAACAGGCTTCTCTCTATATAGTCTTAATAGATGCGCTGAAGCTCCCGATACCGATTGGTTAGGCCCGAGAAAACCGAGTGTCTAGTATAAGTGCTTTGCAGCCCAGAATAACACAGAAGGAACGCGAGAGCCCGTGCGATACCCGAGAGGCCGGGGGGGGGGGGGGGTATACACTGCCAAACGGGCAGCCCGCAGATCACCCGACTTGTGTCTTGAAGTATCCACATTACCAGGCATGGCTCGGAGAGCCTCAGAGCTGTATTCAACAGTAACCCCGGCACCAACCGTCTGCAACACGGCCGCAATATTTAGGCCCTCTAAGCCAGTTGCGCACCACCTCTTTCCCCGCAAATAGGATCATTTCAAAAAAAAAAAATCTACAACCATTGACACCGATGTCTATCCAGACCAGATAATGCAACCACCAATTCCCGGTCCCCTCCTCGCCCATTTCCCACCCTACTCCATTCTCGCTCTTCACCTTTGGAAAATCGCTTCCTAAAAGCAAGCATGGCAATTGGGTCGCCTGTCCACAAACCAACAAGGTTAGGCTAGGTCAGCCTCGACTAGGCCGCAGAAAGCGGACCAACGCGAGCCGGGAGGGGCGACCCAGCGGGTGCAAGAAACGTGGCTGGGTGCAGTTCCTGGTGCTAGCAACAGATTTCCTTCTTAACCATTGCGGTCTACGAATGCGGGGCACGATATCACAAATAGGCCAACAATATCGAGGGAGGTGAGCTGAGTTGTTAGTGTATGATACCTCGCACTGCGTAGCTCAATCAGACCTAAAGATTATCGGTTCGATAGCGAAAAGGAAGGAAAGAAAGAAGAAAGAAGAAAAATATTGGCGACAAAACCCCTTCTCATAACCTCCCATATCACCTCCCATCACTCACCCTTCTCTCCCGAAATTGATATCGAAATCAAAGTTAACCACTCACTCACAAAAACGTTCTATCGTACAGACCATGGAGAAACACCTAACCCGGTATTAGCGAAACCTCCTCCCAAACCTTCCCACTCATTTCTCCAACTACCACTTTGTTCAAAAAAAAAAGCAAAAAAACACTGGACATTTTTATATTTCGTCCAGAAGTATGATGCTTCTGCCCGCTGCGGTGACCGCGACGGGCCAAGATCGAATCATTGATCGCATCTGGTGGGCACACCTAGCTAGCGTATAGTTGGTTATCCGTACGGGGAAAAGTAGAAGAAGTATCCTAGCCCTTTAATAGAATCACGGACCTGATGTGGTAGTTTTGTTTTGTTGGGTTCCATTGATTACTATTTCTTCCGCTTGTAACTCTATGCTTTTCCGCTTGTATACGGGGGAGGAGGAGGACGTTGCTGGAAGCATGTGAGAAACTTTTGGTGTTATAGTGCGATTCCTCCTAGCTATGATACCGTACGCTCGCAAAGAGTGGCTCTCGATCTAAGCAGGAAACCGCCAAAGCTCTGATGAGGCGTGACACTGGGAGGGGGTAGTATAGTGACGTAATGTGTAGAGTGACCTCCAGTCGTTTACCTAACAATCATAGCATGTCACTCGATTACTGACCACCCTACTATTTTTTTATTTCCTTGGAAACTGCCGCCGATCACACTTCTGGCCAATATTAACGTACGATAGTTTGACAACTATAAAACGCAGTTTTGATGGAATCCGCTCAAGTGATATCTTAGGGACCACCGTTATCCAGAAACCCTTTGGACAAAGAAAAAGAAAAAAAAAACACTTCAGCAAAAAAAGAGCAGGTAGAGAGTAGTCCATCAAGTTTGATATGATAGCAACATTGGGCCCCACACAACCACCGACACAATTAAATCACCTCAGATACTTCCTCCGTCTTATAGCGTAACCATCAAGACATCTCTTCCGGTAAATCTCCGCCTCAAGATCCCAACCCCATACACCCGCCATGTAGCGCTCGCACCCAAGGACGTATCCATACCCCGCGCCCCACCTCTCCCTCAACTCGCCGTCAATGGCGCACTGTGCGTGGTATGCCATGATGTGAGGATGCCTCCTCCGAACACTCTCGCTCCTGACGTACTGAATGCCAGACCACGGGATTCGATGTTCCGCTGTGTGTGCCCATCTATAGACCTCACGGCGCCGCTCACCTTGACAGTATCTCCGGTCCTCGACATCAAACTCCTCGCCCGACCAGTCACCGTCCGGATAGGTGTACGAGGAGAAGCAGTGAGGGAGATCTGGGCCCCACGCTTCTCCGAGGTGTTTCCTAGGTGATGGGACTAATTGGCGGTCTCTGTCGAAGGGAGTGTGAAGGCCATCTTCGTAGTCGTCCCGAAGCATCCACTCTGCCCCCCCATCATCCGAGGACAGACACCGATCCGCCGTCAGGTCCCCACATCGACCGTAGCGATCAATGGTAGAGCTTGAGCGACTCCGCGCCATAGAGCTTCTTGATAGGGGGCGGTCTGAAAACGGTGAGTATGTTCTATCACTCATATTGACCGATTTCGGGATCTCTCCTTCTTCTTTCTTCTTCCCCTTCAATGAATTCCAAGGAAACCTTGGAAAAGGAAAAGGCGCTACACTCGTTATATGTAATAGCACGCCGGTTTTGAAAACCCCTTATCCAAAAAACCTGCCACGACAATAATTATAATACAGTCTAACTTAGTGCTTTGTTTTGTCGGCAAGAGACCACCAAAGAAAACAAGGAAAGTGAGAAATCCCCCTCATGACCTGGTGATCCACTGTAGCCGCCACCGGAAAGATCTGCTTGTCCATGCGGGGAGCCTTCCGATCCGCCGTATACGGTTATAACTAGGATCCGCAGCTGTAGGTCCCCCGCCCGAACAATCACTAGCAAACAGAGTGAATAAATGCTGACTCCCGCGCCTGCGTAAATCTATTGTCATCATTACCATTATTATTATTATTTGTTCGTGACGTCGTTCCCGCATTTTCCATCACCGGGGCGAAATTAAACGCTCCGCGAAGACAGGGGTCACCCCCCCCTTGCCCCCCCCAAAAAACGAGTGAGATACCATGGATGAGGTAGGTAGTCATCATAATATTATATGATAACGTATGTAGGTGTTATGGAAGTTAGAGAACACTCACCGCATTGGTCCTCATGAAGCCATGTTAAATTCCGAGGGGCGAAACACCGGAAGGGGAAATAAATGTTTGACTTCAATAACTCGCCAGGACAAAGTCAATTGAAACATCATAGATTGTTTGTCTCGAGCGGGAGGTTTATCCGACTTCACATCCACCGAAAAAAAAGAACGAAAAAATCCATTGGAGCGGAAGAGGTGAGGCTTGGGTAAAACTCAAGAAGGCCTACTAAAGATATCAGAGGAAAATGTCGAAGACTCAATGCTCCTTGGGTTAGGATCTGTGGCAGTGCACCCCGCTGGTGACATATTGCCAATGATGGCTACGCCTTTATCGAAAGCAATCAAGGAAATGATAGCGGTCACAAATGCCCAGTCCTCTCCTTTACAGTCATTTCCCGTACTCGCTCCGGTGGTCTACAAAAGAAAGCGGGAACCTCAACGACAAAGCTCATCAATCTTCAACGATTTCCCCGTACAAGTAACAAGTTGCTATTTCTAGCTGCCCAAAGTGCGACTGCCCATGCATCCCCCAAATAACTGTTTTATGGCGCACATCAAGTGTATCAACAGCTCATAAGTAATTAAAAGGATTATCATCTGCTTGCATGAAAATCCTCGGATGATAAGCCACCATGTACCGACCATTCTCCCCTCCCCCCTGCTCAGGAGGATATGCAACTTGGTACCAACCTCCTGGAATCGCATTTATTTCTCAAAAGATGGGACCCATGACTTGGTGATCAATGTTGTCAACAATTTCTCCAAGGGCTAGAATCAGGATCCTGGAGCAAACATAGGTTGGCTCGATTCAAAAGGGGCTCAATCGATTTTTGATCGCCAACGAGTGAAGCAAACATCTACTTTGTGAAGAGTACTCCGCTTCTTAGTTCCGCCTAATAACGACCGGACATTAACTTTGCCAAGATCCCTATCCAAATACCATGCAGCTCTTGCCCCACGAGTGCCATGTACTATGCCAGGGACTAGTCCCTGTGTCTTCTATTGTGTCAAACGCACAAGAGCCCTCGTGCAACCCAAGATTTCCGGCCGCTCATCTGCGAGAAAGGATCCTGAGTCGACCATTCCCTGAGCCAGCCTAGCCCAAATCCTCACTTCGCCCAAGCCAACCCAAGTCACATATAGCCACCGAGCGAGATGGGCGGAACTCCAAAAAGGCGACCCAACTGACAACCAAAGGGATCGGCCGATACCACGAAGCACAACCCCCTTGACAACACGATGCCAGAACATGGCCAGAGCAACTAGTAGGCGAAATCGTACTCTTCAAAGATGACAAGACACTTCAAAACTCATCGCCCGACGAATCTAGTGCGAAGGGGAACAGTTCAAACATGGCCTTCAATACCCAGATCCCCGATGCGCCGAGTGATTATTGGTGATATGAAATCGGTTCTCCTCACGTCATAGATATCAAACCACATTTTGGCGATTCTAGATAGATCGGTATGGGCTCGAGAGTTGGCAGGCGCCCAAATAACCTCGAAAACATAAATCGGGACCTATATTACCTAAGCCGAGAAGCACCCGCTTCATCAACGTGTGCTCCTCAAATCCAAACAACCATCCCCGTGAGCCCCTCTCCGCCGCCGAGAGGATACCCAGCAAGCCCAACAGTTGCATCACTTCCAGCAACAGTTCCCTGACTGCCACACAAAAACAAAACACCACGGACCTCGTGCCAAGAACCGGTAGGAGAGAGGTCGGTCCATTTGCCAACCGGGAAGCCCCGTGAACCGCATCCAGCCTTGTTTCCCCACAGAGGGGTGTTTCTCGATAAACCTTGAGCTCAGGCAGATTTCGAATACCGGCGGTGGCGGTCGGTCAGGCATCGATGTTGTCCGTTGCCAGCTGTCTCGATCAAACTGCGCGTTACCCTCCCAGATCTAGTTGACCAATGATCGTGAACAGGTCATAGGCTGGATACGGGGTGATGGGGTTAACGGAAGAAGGCCGAGAAGCAATAATAGAAACAAACACGTCTCCGATCAATTACAACAAGTAAGAAAAGTGGAAGCTCTATAGATTTAGAGAGAAAGAATCGAACCCACCCTTCGAACCAGAGTGGCGGCGTTCTGCTTCGATTGTGCCCGTAGGAATAATGGATGCCCGGTCAGTGGGTCAAAGGGTAAAGTGTTAGACAAACCAGCATCTAAAACGTCACGAATGGGTATTCCGGACAAGAAGGATCAACCTCCAGATAACCCGCCCGGATGCTAGAATTCACCCGCACAGTAGAACCCAGACGATGGGACTCGGATTCGAACCGTGGTCCAAAGCAGCCCACCGATCAATTGGGATCTCCCGAAAGCCGAAGATGTACCGTACAGTGCAAGCATGTCGTGTGAAAATTCACTGCAGGATATAGGAGGAAATTTGAAGATTCGGATATGGCAGCGCGTTGGCAGCTCACGGGACACACAAGATGCAATTACGACGCTATAATACCGTACGGTGCGTGGGCAACACGGGTGGTGTTTCAGGTTTCCAATACCAGTACTTTTTTACCTTATGATACTCGTACTCTCCTCCCAGTGGCGGAGGAGGGCCTCTGAAGAATCAATACCGAGACCAGAAACCCAGCTGAACTCGCCTCGGTCCTCTCCCCCCACAAAACCTTAAAACCCAAAGACCCCCACTCTTGACTCACGAGAACCATCACCCGCTCCCCTCCTCCCTTCCTGTTCTCTACGAGGATTGACAACAGGACTTTGGCTCTCCCCCAACCCTCAACCGCTCCACTAACCAACCCTAAGCAGAGCTAATCTAGCCGGAAGCCAAAAGTTACCCGAGCATGAGATTTTCCCAATCGGACAAGAACACCCGAACACAACTACCACGATCCACTCCGTTCGCCCGAATGGCCTCACGAGGGGAGAGGGAAAAGGGATTTTGCTTTTTCACTAGTTGACACTTTAGAGAAGTGGAAAAAGAAAGAAAAAAAAACCACATTGGCGGCCATCGCAGCCCTGATGGAGCCCGGGTGGGAAGGGAGGACGATGGGCGCAGCGTTCTGTTCGGTCCGGAAAGGAAGGTTCGGTATGCAACATACTCGTACAGTACTGTATGTTTTAAAGTCGGTGTAAGCCGACGCTATGCCGAATGGGAGACGCGGATGGTTCCATTCGTCGTCGCCGTTCTGGAGGGCTGGTGCGATGGCTAGTACCTGTAGAGCCTCACGCTCCTCTGCCCGCCAACTCTTGCGAGAGTTCGGGCCATGGCACCCTGTAGACTTACGGTACGGTAGGGTCGAATGATACAGCGAAAGATGAAGGCTCGAATTTGTTGTCGAGGAGGGCTCCCCGGTTATATTGGTTGATATGTACTGTACCGTACTACATTACCAGTTTTGCCGGCTGTAGACCACTGTACTCGTACACGAGGGGAGGAGAGAGAGGGGGCGGCCGCGGGGGAAACGGCAAATACCGTACCATTGCCGATAATAGATATATTGTACGGAGATGCGGCGGTCTGCTGCCGTGGTTGATATGGGAATTGTAGGAGGGAGGAGGACGGTTGGTTGGTTGATGGGTTGGTGGTTGGCACTGTCCGAGCGCACCGTAAATTTCCTAAGTTAACCGGTTCCTACGTCCTTTTTCCCCCGCGGCTTCCGGGCTGCTTCTGCATCCTGCTTTGAGACAAGTCCACCATCTGCTCCGCTGCACGTACCGGAATATAGGTACTGTACTCGAGTAGAGTACGGCACTTGTCCGGCATCTACGAGTATGACAGATTATCATATGAAGCAGTTCTCGCTTCTCGACTTCGTTTTCGTGGCAAGCAGCTAGTTATGCGCTCTGCACCTCAGCGCGCACTTGCGGTACGGTGATGGGCAAAGAGTTCCTCGAAACGTTCTTCTGCTCCAAACAGCACTGTCTCCATCCAGATCATTAGCCTCGCGCTAATCCTTATCTTGCCGCGTGCCCCACCGCGGTCCACCGGTCGTCCCAAGCGCTGATTACTCATATAAGGGAGCGGGAAAAGAGGAAGAAGAAGAAGAAAAAAAGAAAAGTCAGTTCCCCCTGACTTCCCCTCTCCCTCACCATTGTTTGCAAGAGAGGAGGGGGTAGGGTGGTGCGCGGTGAAGTTGACTCCTCCACATATTCTTTTTTTTTCTTTTCTCCCTCCGTTCAACTGCCGAAGCCTCCCCTCAGCCGTTGAGATAGAATCCCGTACTTGTACCAGTATAGTACCGTACAGTCCGGTGCAGCAGTGCAGTACGGTACATACATGGAGAACTGGAAGTGACGGTAACATGTGCGTGTAACCTGACGTGAAAATTGTGCCACCAATGGGGGAGCACACACACACACACTTTTGATCACAAAACTCAGGATCAAAAGTGCTGAGGGAGGAAGGGAGAGGAGTTGGGAAGGGTGGGGTGGACAAAAAGCCATTGTTGTCGTTTTGAGGATGAAGAATGGTTTGTACGAGTGGAGTACCCGAGCGCTCTCGCCGGCCATTGGGCCAGCCAGCCAGCCGGCTCGGCAATAGGGTAGACTATTGGGAATATGATAGCGATATCCGTGTACAAGTAGTACCGTATGGAAGAGTTGATGATACCAACTCGCGCGATCCGGATCTGAGATTTCACTTGCCCATCGGGTTCGAGGTCGCTGCTGGATGAGCGGGAGAGACGAGAGGAACCGACGTTTATTCTTCTTCTTCTGCTTCCCCTTCCTTATTTCATTTTTTTTCTTCTCTTTCGTTTCTCCTTCCGTAATTGCTTGTTTCTGATGGGAGTGCAATATATATCCGTGAGAGCGGAGCGTCACACAGCTGTTTGAGTATCATACATCATATGTGAGGGGGGGGGAGGGGGAGGGGGAAATGTGAAGAAATGTGGCATTATTTTCAATTGGCATTTCGATTACTGTACGTTAGTCACGGTATGTTAGGCTACCGTACCATATCTGCGAGAGATCGATCATATAGTACGGTACGGTATGAGGTTTAATTGTAAGCGGGCTGGAAGTAAGTACCGTACCGAACCATATATCCTTTCTCTCCTCCAACCCCGATCACGGGAGAATATGCTCCTTTTTTTTTTTTTATCGATAGCCACCGCACCGTTACCGGTATGATTTCCCATGATGTGTATAATAGGGTGGCAAATGTTTATGCGGTAATCGCAGAGGCTAGACCCCCACAGCTCGCGTGACCATCCATCAACATCATCATCACGACTTCCTCGTGAGCTCGCTTGTTTCCTCCCCCACCCTCCAGGGGTCCCAATTAAGTTACTGTACCGGTACTTGCCTACCGTACGGTATTATCACACCGCACAAGTCTAGTCTACTGCACTGTGCGAGTAGTACTGTACTCGAGTACCGCTACTAGTACAGTACAACCTGACTAATCCCAGAAAGGATATCTCAACACGATATCGCGCTCGAGTAGACTAGGCTACGGCATTCGTACTTTGTATACCGGTAGTACGAGTACGGTACATGCTGTAGGTTTTTCCGCGGGAATGTTTTTCCCCCCATTTATTCTCTTCGGTTAGGACGTGCGCAGCGAGCAACGTGGACATGGATGTGGAGATGGAGATGGATGGATTGATATGAACAGGGCGCGCATAATTAGGGTCTGGTCTGGTCTCGTTTCGTTTCTCAAAAAAAAGTGCCGATTTAATTACCGCATTGGTTGGTTGGCTGTGGACGCCCAAGTACTAATAGTACTAGTATTGTGCCGTATCTGATAATGAGACGGGGGTTGTTTTGTTTTTTTGGATGATTGGTTGCTGTGTGATGGAACGTAACTTTGGTACTCTTAGCCAGTCGCGCTACCACTTGAGGAGCATAATGATAACTTAGAGGACAAAGGTATGGCCTAAAGTGCCGTATGATAACGATTACCCCCCCACCCCGGTCTTGCACGAAAGCATCTCCTCTGGTACTTGTACTAGTACTTTGTCCCGGTGCTCGTCCCAGGCAGATGTAGGCTACCAGGAAAAAGGGATTAACAAGGTGCCATATATGGTAGGAAACCTGGGTATAACTTATCTGGGCGCTAGCACAAAATACTCGATTATGCAGCCCTGTTTTTGGGTGCCTTTAGTCTGGGGCTGGTGTGATACAGTAGGGTACTGTAGAGCGCCGTGCAGCACTCTCCGGTGTCTTCGAGTGTTTGCTTAGATATGTCTACCAGCTAGACTAGTATGATATGTTATTTGAAAGCGAATCTCCAACTCGACAGTTACCCGGCTAGAGGTGCCGAGACCCCTCCCAGCCTGCCCCAATCCTGTCACTACCGTACTCATACAGGTATGATATCATAGTCGGCGTTGCTATTACTGCAAGCTGTTCTATCAATGTCCCCCCTCAACGGCTCTCCCACAAACCCTTCTCGCCAGGGGAGCAAGTATACGGTACTGATATTACAATACCAATACCAGGGATGCCGGGATCCGAACCTCTACAAACTGTGCTAGTACACCAAACGTTCTATCCTTAGTATCAGTAGGGTGTGTAGCCTCTACTTTCTGATAGCACCGCGGTAGCAGCTCCACAATCTCAGGCCACCAATGAACAATTGGAATTGCCCAAATGGCTCCCTGATGATCCTTACCCAAAAACCTCTCTCCGTACGAGCTGCCTGGGGCAGTGAATGAATGAACGAATGGTATGCACTCTGCACAGAGCCCCACTCCAAGAACCACGTACGGTACATTGAGGAAAATCGACCACCGATATCGCTCGACTTTTTCAGGCCTGCGATGGGCTCTTACGGGGTATCATGGCCAACTGCTGTATCACGCTGTACCGTACCGGTCACTGACCAATTGCCCAGGTAGCCAACTGATTTGACCTGCAACACACACACCATGAATCGGCCTCTTCCTTCCTCCCTCCGATCAAGATCAAGCCTTGCCAAAACCTCCACCACAAAAATCCCACCACGTTCTGTTATTGTCCGGGGTATGTAATCGGTGACAAGGCTGAGCGTTTCGTAATCTGGTGTATGGAGTGCTGTGGACAAGGATATAATATATAATATTATAATGCGGCGGTCTCTTTTTTTTTTCTTTTCTGCAACAGCGGAGGGGGGTGCCTACCTTGGCTTGACGTGGGAATCATAGGATTATACTCGGCTTCTCATCATTTTCTTCTTGTTCTGCCACTTCTTGTTCTGATGTGCTTGATAATAATATTTTGGTATTACCATTCAGCACATGCTGACCAGTGGTGGGAAGTGGAGTGTATGTTTCCTTCTGAGGAGGAGAAGAAGCACATGGTACTGCAGATGATGGCGATGATAATAGTATAGTATTAGTCCCAGGGCGGAAATATACCACATTACATGTTTTCCTCTTCCTTCCTCCCACCCTCCCTCCCCATAACCAGCATCATATTACCGGTGTACCAGCGCTATATGTAAAAAAATAAAATAAAATAAAATAAACCGCGCTCGATGCGGAATTCCTACATGCTGTGCTATTCCCCCCCCTCATCCCCTTCGATCTCGGCGATCACTGCCTGCCCAACACCGCGCTTGATGTATGGCACCGTACGAATACAGCGTAGTGCTGAGTACCGTACCGTACAGTGCAGTACCGTATCGTGGTCCTTACAATCGCCTGATTGCTTGCCTGCCCTACCGCACGTATACCGGTACAGTACAGTACGGTACACAGCACTGTACCGTACCTACAGTGCTTTACGGTACTCTACTCGTACATGCGCATGTCTGCCGGTCCTCGCTACCGACCGTTCCTCTTCTTCATCCATCCATCTACTCGAGTATCTGTAGATGAGCTTCTGCAGTACCGTAGCGGTACCTTGCCCTACCCAACCGGTACAGTACTGTAGTCTACCGTACTCGTATCATGCTTGGGTACCGGGTGCGCAGAGAGGGGTAGTTCGCCTAATTTTATTTATTTATTTATTTTCCTTATTTTTTTTTCCCCTTTCACCCCAGCTTTGCGAATACCGGTAATTTAATTGACTGATTGATTATGCTACGGGTCTAGTACGGTACAGTTGCCCCGGTCTCGCATAGCGGTGATCGGTTGTCGCTTAAGTGTGTGAATCATAAATAAATGAATAAATGAAGGGGATAACTTAGAGGGTGAAGGGGGGGGGGGGGAGGGAGGGAGGGGAGGAACAAGTGCCGGGATTTGAACCGTCACGGCATTTGAATGGACAAGTCGAGTTTGAAAGTCTTGGTGCGAGGGCTGGTATATACTGCATTTGTCTACATGGCATAATGAGTTATCATGCTTTCTCTACGGCAGGGGGAGTTTTTTTTTTTTTTTTTTTTTTTTGCAGAGCCTCTTTTCGGGATTTTATCATAACACGCTGTGTCTTGGGGGGTATATCATACCGTACTGTATCATACTTGTTGTCGGTAATGGGAACATCGGGTTTTGTGGTTGAGGGATATGGCTTCAGGTTTGTGAATCGGACTTCGGACTTGGAGGGGTAAGTGCAGCATCATGCTAAAAAGTGCCGTGCCGGTGGCTGCGATGGGTGATTTCGGCCCTGGTCTGGTGCTTTTCTCATTTTCTTTTCTTTGGATGGGTTTTCGGGGTTGGACTGGGTTAGGCTGGGCTTATTTGACTTGTGGGCTTTTCGATGAATTTTTCATTCCTGTTCTGGTTTTTTTTTATTTTTAGGCGGGGTTAGGAGGGAAGGATGAATGGGTGGGCTTCCTCCACTCCCTTTGGCCTTTCTGTTTAGGTTGGAGTTGAGATTACGGGTATGGTGGTTTCTGATCTGTGTGGTGGTGGTGGTGATGATGATGATGATGATGATGATGATGGTGACGGTGATGGCGGTGATGGTATTTTTTTTAATTTTTACGTTCTCGTCAAGGTGAAGGTGCAAAGGTTAAGGTATCGTATCGATACCTGAGACGAGACGTGAGACTCGATGCTAGAGAGAGATAGGCTGGCCTATGATATGTGGCGGAGATGCTACTCGTAAGCTGCTACCACGCGATATGTACCGCTAACAACCGCACGCACCAATGCGCCCTCGCGCATTTTGGAGAGTGATGGGGATTGCGTTTTCTGGGAACTGTGTGCGGAAGGATTTCAAGTGATTAATGATTGGATGGATATTCTTGATTATTGTTTCCATCATGATGCTACTGTTCTGGTCAAGCTGTGTGGTATGTGGGGATCATGTTGACGTCGCTCTGCGCCTGGGTACCATACCGTACTCACTCGAGTGCGCCAATACATACGGTAGATGTGCTCGAGTAGGAAAATGCAATTGTCTGCCGTGGGCGAGATGGATGGACGGTCGCCACTGCTGCGGTGCCCGCGAGGAAGGTGGTGTTCGACATGTGCGTGTCGCTCGCATTCGTATGCCGTTAACTGTCTAGTAGTTATCGCAAAGCGATAATTCGACCTTATTCCCAGGGTCAGGGAGGGAAGAGCGGTGTGGAGAAGAAGGTTGGAGAGAAGGAGGGTTGGTTGAAGATTGTGGTTGAGGGTGGTGGTGGTGGTGTGTGTGTGTCTGTGCTGTTCGAAATTGGCGGTCGTTAATTCGTTGGTATGCTAATTATTGGAAAAGGGGAGGGGGGGAATGAGACCCTCCTCTGCAGAGCAGAGTTACTCGAGTAGATGAAGCCCGCAAGGCCACTTCCCGGCCGACTCTGGCCCACCCATTTTTCCAGTGTTCTCGCCTTTCCGCGAGATCGGATTGCTGAGAGGGTGTTGATGGAGCCCATCCCTCCCACCGAAATGGGCGGGCAGAGTTACACACTAGTTTCTGTGAGATGCTGTGAGTTATAGTTATGGGGCCGCTTATGGTCCATTTATCCAAGGCGTAACCCCTTTCGCTCTGGGCAATCACGCTGGACGGGGGAGGGGCGTCTGGCGTGAAGGGGGAACGCCATGCCTGTGTGATACTGTACGATAACCGTCAGATCCCCCGAATCTACTTAGAGTGGGAGTGCGCCGCCTATTCGCCTTTACCCTTCCTCGACTCCTCGTGCTTCCCTCTCCCCCAAGTACTCGTACTCGTACTCTAGAGCAGCCAGCCATCCTCTCCCCCCTTCCTCATCCGGCCCCTTTTGTGTCTGCCTGCGGTACATATCATAGCCATTCCCTCGTGCTGTACATACAATACACTCACCTAACCTTGACATTTGCTGCTGCTGCTGCCCTCACTTCGGGACCTTGCTTGGGGAGAAATCGTCGCCAAGTCAACTGAGCTGAGGTTGCCGGAACAATACCTTGAGCCGCTCTTTGAATAGCACGGCAACTCCCAAAAACACTATCCAACGGAGCACCCTATCACGGGTCCCGATACCTTACCGCTGTTTTCCTTTTTTCCCCTTCTCTTGTCTCTCTTGCCAGCCAGCTCGCTGTGGCTGTATACCCAACTTATCCGTGGCCCGTCTTTTAAGGAGGAATCCTGGGCTCATTGGCTCTGTTAGCATTCATCTTGCCCACCCTCGAGAACCATTTGGTTGGCCAGCTCGTGGGTCACTTGCACCCTTCTCTCTCCTTCAACCATACCCTACGCCTGTCTTCGAGGGTTGGCTGGCTGGCCGTCCGTGGGCTCTCGGAGATAGTTCACAATTAATTAATTGTATGTATCATCCCTATATTCCTGGGGGTGTGTGCTGGGTGCATTTATATGTTTGTCGCTTCGCTCACCCGGTAACAGCGGACGAATCCAGCCCAATCAGTGCGTATCCGCAGTGACTTTTTGCCAATCAGGTCTGCGTTTGTGTGGTCAGTCTGGTACGGGTGGCCATTACATACCGGTAGCTGCCGATACACTACCCACACAACCACCCCATCACCGACCATCCTCTTTGCTTCGACTCGTCAGGCATATCATACCTGTTCGTGTAGGAGGGCCCTTCTCGCTCGAATATAATAATAAATAGCTGGTGGTCTGTGTGTCCCTTGCATTCGCCGGAACGACCGAAGCAGCACCTACGCAAGCGGTTCGGCCAGAACTGATAACCTACACACCTCCCTCTCCTCCTCCTCCGCCTCTTCCTCCACCGCCTCTACGATACACTGTACGCATCTGTATATCACACATTCCCTACACGACGCCATACCTTTACCCGGGCCACCGTATTATTACCATCGTATTATTATTACTATTGTTTATAAGATACACCTTGTTCCTGCTTCTTGCTGCCCCTTACCCTGCTTCTACTTTGCTGGTCTCACTCTGCGAGTGCCCTACCCTACGTTACCATTACCTGCTCCCTCTCTCTAGGCGCGGCTTCAACCGGCTTTTCGGGCCCAACTCGTGAACAAAGAAGCCCCCTCCACCGCGAATCGTGGCCACGCCCATACCTTCTTGTCGTTTACCAAACAAATCTTATAACACTTTTTACTGTCCGCATAGGAATAGGAATACAATAAGCACGGTCGATCATGGATTCCGTTCGGCGGTATTAACGACCGACACTGCTCCCCCCGACCCTGTTCTTGCTCGCTCGACCGTTAGTACACTTGTGATCTCCCTCTCCCGACGGCGACGGCGACGGCGACGACAACGCAATCATGCTTGGCCGTCTATTCTCCTCTGCAAATTCAGCAGCTACATCTCCTAATGGCACTCGCCCGTCAACCGCGGCGGCCCCCGAAAGTGACGATCTACACACTAGGAATCTTCTCTATCCCGATGCAGCCTCCCCGTTCCATTCGTCCCTCTCCTGCTCTCATACCAGCAGCAGCAGCAGCAGCAGTGGCGGTTTCGGCGAGAACATTGATCTTGATTCGGATCGAGATGTGAGGGTCATTATCGCTCAGGATGGTATGGCAGCAGAGCTAAAGGCCGTCCTGTACGACTCTCATCAACCCGTCCCCAAAAGCATGGGCCAATCACAGCCGGGGTTTGAAGACAACGGCCCTTTGTCCCCCGGACTCGGGGGACCCTACCACCGCCCCAGGCGACGTCCTGTGCCTCCGAACCATCCCTTTGGCACCTCTTCGTATCACCCGACTCAGGCTGCTTCCGGGGTGGCGCCCGATCATGAAATGGCTGTATTGATGGATTGTATGTTTGGCTCAGCGCCATTAGCATATAAGGGCCCTTCAACAAAGGTACACATGCTTCCGACGGCGGAAGAGCGAAAAGGCAGGATTCGAAATAGTCCTATTTCCTCGAGACGTGGATCGCTCCGAAACCCTTCCTCTGCCCCTCAACAGCTTGAACCGGAGTCGCACAAAGATGCTCGCAGGGAAGTTTTGATCACAAGGCTGTTTTCAGTAGTAATGCCGCCGAGTCCGACACTTCCTAACCCCCCCCAGGTCTCTAAAGACCATACCCCCGCACCCGCGAGTTCATCAGCATCCCGACACGGATTTCCCTTTCCTAGAATGAACAGTGGCGCCCAGCCCGTAAGTGGACCTGCGGCTGCCGCTGCCAAGATCGTCAAACCATCCAAGACTTATATGTACGCTCTTGGTTTGATCATTTCATTGCCTCCGCCAGCCGTTTACAACCGCCCATCGACAACCTCTTCCCTATCCCTTAGTCATAAGTGTTGCTGCCAGCTAAGTACATGTACATCTCTCGAGCACGATCATGGACACCCCGACTTTTTATGTTCAACACCTCCATCGTTCGACGATGGCCATTTCCCGCAACACCCTCTTAATAGTCTGAGATCGGATGCTGTAATCGATGACCTCCAGACCCCTTCTTCCGTAGATGACCGGATGGATTTGGTCACTAAACACTGGGACGTCATTAGTAGAGCACTTTCGGACCTCCAACGTGTCGCAGAACCTCGAATTCTCCATGCTTCGAACACTGCTGGCATAACCTCCGCCCAGGCGGCCTGCCAGAACGGGTTTAAGCACAGGAAACGGGTTGAGCCAAAGCAGTGGGCACTGATGAGCGATGATTGTATGCGCAGAGAGGTGAATAGGTTTCGTTGGAGGATTGTGACAGGTATTAAGGTTCCCAGGGTCATTACTGGACAGGGGAAATGGGGTGTGTGGAGGGACGAGGCGCAATGGGCTAATGAGAGGTTCGGAGGAAGGGAAATGAAATTGTGAGCTGCTGCTGTCTAGTTGACGATTCTCCACCGGAAATACTAATTATGCGGCATGTAGCTTTTTCCTCACATTATTGACCGCATTTCTCGGCCACCACACGGAGTGGCTAGACGTCCTTGGCCCTCTACCATACAGGCGGAAGCATCAGCGGCAACAGCAGGTGGCAGGTAACAATGAGGAGTTTTCGATGCCGACTCGGACCATTATTCTCTCGAACGACAAGATGGCTTCGAGAAGACTCATATACCTCCTTTCGACATTTTTGCCGACCAAGAACTTTTCCCAATGGGACGGGCTTCCACCACCTTCAAGGACTTCGTCGATTAACTATCTCTCCCAATCGCCACCTATTCCGGGGGCAATGGGAAATAGTTTGGGGAGTAAGAAAAGCACTCTACGCAACAAGGCCAAGAGGAAGCCGAGTAAGCTCAGCATGGTCACTGGTGACGAAGAGGAGGTTGTGGGGTGGGATATCCCCGCCGCGACCAGTGGAGAGTCGAGTGCTGCGCCATCCGTGTTGCGGCTTCCTTTGTCGAACCCCGCACGAAAAGCGGGGAGTGCAGGGACACTAACCACAACCCCAAACTCTGCGACTGCTATGCCGGCTAATGTGCCGGGGAGCCCCCAGAAGAGTGATGCGCGTCCGAGCAGCAGCAACAGTGCAGCAAGCATGAATCTGATGAACACGCTAAAACGAACTGGGACCGCAAACACGAGTATGGATTCAAACAGTGGATGGGGTAGTTTTCTGAGTTTCTGGAGCCAGTCAAAAACAGGATCTACCGCCCCAAGCGAAAACAGCCTGCAGCACGATGACGGCTTTAGTGTGGTTGGTAAGGGTGGGACAATCGGTAACGATGAGGGGGAGCCGGTGGATGTCGGTGAATTGTACTTGGAGGACGACGACCTGCAGCATCATCACCATAAGCAACACAGTGCACCGCTGTCGCTGCCCCCACACCATGGCTTCCATCATCACCACCACCTTCAATTTCCTGAGAGCCAAGTGAGGTTGTCGTTCGACGAGAACGATGGGGTGGTCGACGTTGACATCCCAATGCCATCCCTGGACTTCCCGACAACTGGATACACATCTCCCGTCAGTTCCCCGTCCAGTTCCGGATGGGCAATGTCAATGCCATCCTTGGAGAGCACGGGCAATGGGTTCCTGGGGTTTGGCATGAATTTCTCGTCCGGAATGGTAATGCCTAACTGGATTACCGATCTCGAAGAGAACGCGGTCAATGTGGCGGGGTGGCTGGGCGACGAAAAGTTCCACCCCGATTTTGCCCTTCAAGCCGTGAAGCCGTACGCGGAAGTTAGAGAGGAGATCGAGAGAGCCATGAGAGCCGAGACAACGCCCCGCCAGCCAATGGGCGCCACACCCGCTTCCGAGTCTGGCAGCACTAATCAGGAAAGCTCCAACGATAGGTGGATCGAGGTCTGCTCAGTCCTGATCGCAGACACAAGAGAGCACACGATAAAACGCCTTCGTCTCCGCCGACGCAGCAAGAGACCGGCCGCCTCTGCAGGCACCACCTCACTGCCGCCCAGTGCGCTAAGCGCCCACCGCCACCTACATATTCAACAACCATCGTTTGCTGCATCAAGTCCATACTTTGGCCCCGCCGTCGTGGCCACCGCTGCCGAGTGGGAGGGAGAAGAGGAAGAAGTGATTGATGAAGAACTCGTATGCGACGTCGACGATGTCCTTGCTACCGCGGTGGAAAAGGTCATCGGTATATCCGTCACCCCCCTTCCGCGGCCACAAACTAGTGGTGGTAACGGTGGCAGTACCACCGCCCGCGATGGAGGGGACGAATTTCAGAAACTCAATGTCCAGGGATGCAAGTGCACGGTTCTTGGAGCTCTGGAGAATGTGGTTCGCGCAGTCGCGCATGAACATGGAAACGTTGTGGAGAACTTTTTGACGGAGGGGGTTGCTAAGTGGCTTAATGATATTCAGGAGGCTTGCTGATTTCCTTTCCCCCCTAGTCCTTTGTCTCTACCCGTATTAACTTATCATCATCATGGACGGTGCATTTGCTTCTTTTCTCCTTTCCTTTTTCTCTTTTCCTCGATTCCCTTTTTGTCATTGGCACTTGATAGTCTGCGATTCCCGGGGACCTCGCCTCGCTTCATCTCACTTTTCTTTTGAGCACGGCATGGTCGGTTGGGCTACCGGAGTTTGTGGGGGTTTTTCTTTTCCCATTTCTTTTTTACACACGGGTTAAACTCTTCATGATGGGTTGGATTGGAGCATAGCCTTTGTTTTTCTCCTTTCACCTTGTTCCATCAGATCATGTCATACATAGCCTTTGCTGTTATTGTCCGGTTTTACCCCAATTAATGGAAGGGGGAGTATCCTTTTGGATATATTCCCCTTTTTTCTTTTTCTTTTCCTTCTTGACTACTTTGCGTTTGGTTCGGTTTGACCGTCCTTTTATCCCGTCTAATGCCTATCTCATCCGGCTCTGGCATTTTTGTTTGTGGGGGTTTGTTTCTACGATCGCCGGTGTTTCGGTGTTTTTGCTCTTTTTTCCTTTTCCCCGTTGCATGATGGATTAGCGAGGGTGATGGCATAGGGACGGTCTTCATCTAGCCACACTACTTGCTTTGACTACGCTCGCCGGCTGGTCCTTTATAGCTGATGCGCCCGCGCGGTGCTTGTACGGTAGATTGGAATGGTCCTGGTGGGGCGTTGGAGCTTTGCTTTACCTTGCTTTACTTTTTTCGTGGAGTTGTGGAGCTGGCTGTGAATTGAGGGGATTATCTACTGTCATGCTGCCATTAAGTATGCGCATCGTGATTTGTGACGTATGGAGGCTCAGATCCTGGCACAGGAAGCGAGGGAGAAGCCGACTGAAGGAAAGGGCAGTTTGGTGATCGGCGACCCTGCATGTCCCCCACACCTTCCGGTATTGCACCCCGGTGAAGATGGCGATTCTCACTTTACGTCAGGCCGGAGATGAACGGTGTACGAGTACTGGCATGATATGAGAGAGCGAGGGGCCCATGTCAAGTCTGACCCTCCTCCCCCCCTCCTCTACGAGTATGATACTCGAGTAGGATAATAACATTTGGGCCGACGGCGAAACGCCAAGTAATTTCCAATGGTCAGCAAAGTTAGCAACCAACCAACCAGCCAACCCAACCAGCCAACCCAACCAGCAACCAACCAACCAACAAACAAAGCCATTCAACACAAGTACCGGTATCACGCATCACCACCACCACAGCAATGTCTAGTAAAACCCCTGACCCTCCAGCACCAGTGCAAAGAGCCAATGCGCACAAGGTTTGCGCGCTTAACGTCAAGACGATCATTCACAAAGAGTTTAATTTCCGGCCCATGGGCTTAGGCGAAGTCCCAGGGTTCCTGCACGGATTTTGACAGAATAACATAGCAGGGAGGGAGTTACGAGGGAGTGAGTTATGCGTGCTATAATCCACCCCTTCACGTGCGTACGATATGATACCGCCGCGCCGTAGTATCTTTTTTCTTTTCAACTCACACATTTCCTTCAAGGGCGGTAGCGAATGACTGGGTAAGGCAGCGTGCTGTACTATGACAGCATGATACTGCACAGAAGTTTTTGTATTATCTGTGTAACTGTCTACCGCGTGGTGAATTGGAACGCCACGACCGAGGTAATGATAACTTGGAGGGTTACATATGGTATGCCGGTGTTAAAATATCTGGCTAGCACTCGAGCACAGCACAGTACAGTGCATGTTTTGGTCGGTCGGTCGGTCGGTCGGTCGTGCCAGTTTCGGTGAGGTGAGTTATTATCGTATCGTGCCGTACCGTACTGCACGTATGTATCGTACTTTACGAGTGGTTGCCATACCGGTACCGGTACGCATCCCGAGGGTATGGTGTGGTACCGGTATATATACGATATTCAGGCCGGTGATGTTTTTTCGCTGATTGATCGGCAGGGGAGAGTATACGGTTAGTGCGGTGGAAAAGGAGGGAAGAGGGGTTGATGCTATCGTAGATCTTGGGTTTTATTCGAGATCGTGGTGTAATCCCGTACCGGTACTGCACTGTACGAGTACTGTGCTGTACCCTATTCTGTACAGTACGGTACCACGAATTCATGATCTACCCTTGCATCGTACTCTGCTGCGGTGCGGTGCAGTGCGGTCACTGCGGTGTGGTGTGGTTGCGGTGTTAAGTTGCAGTTGGTTGTGCGGCGCGTGATGGAGAAGGTTTTTTGTCACTGCTGTAGACTGGACACTATTCTCGCGACCAGTTTCCACATCTCGGAGTGTGATGCTTTTAATTTACCATGGGGGTCCGAAATCCTTTCTCCACCTGGAGTAAATGCTGTTTTTCTCCAAAGTGCCCCCCCCTCCTGGGCGCACAGTAAGGGTAACACATAGACGTCAAGTCATGGTAACACAGTACTCGTACAGAAACTTAACGTCAATTACAGTACTAGCATCCCTGAGTTGGAACTTGCTTCTCCCTGGAATCCTTCCCCAACTGGCCTGCAGAGTTTACACTGTCGAAATTACCTCCGAGAGAGAAAGAGCTATATATAGTACATTTGCCGATCACCCGGTGCAGATGGGTTTCGTGATGAAAGGTCTTACTGCTCCAATGGGAAATATTATCCAGAGGTCCGTTCTCTTATAACTCATCCTTCATACCCTGCACTAAACCCTGAATTTTTGCCCCCAAATTCTCCCCAGGAAACCTGAGTTCAGAATCATCCGCTTTAGAGTTTGGACCATTCGGCGACTTTGTATTTATACTAACGTAACATTCATAGTCGGTGTACATGAGCGGCCTCTGTCAAGCAAGTCAAGGCTTATCGTGCTGGTGTTGGACAGTCTGAGGCGGTATAGTGAATGACCGCGAGTAATAGTAGCGGCGTGACTACTGTTTGATTTGCCTATAGGGCATGTGGTTTTTACCATGTGCGGGTGAGTAGGAAAGCCGCAGCGCAGCGGTTTGTTGCTTTTGCATCTTATGCAGGCAGGCATAGGAATATGGGTTTCGGCCCTGCTGATTCCCACTGCCATGGGACATCGGGCATGGGGTATTTCTTTCACGTCCTATTCCATCGGCCATACACAGTAAGTTGGTTGGTCCGGGGCATCACGGAGGATCATGAGATATCCGGATAGTTCTGGATTGCTGGATGATGGCAGGGGATCATGATTTGTCACGGTGGCGCCATTGTTTCTTTAGAGTTTGTGGAGTTTTCTTTTTGGTTTCTGGAGTCGTCAGCTGTTTGGAGATATATATATATATCTCCTGGTCTGAGCTCAGATAGCTTCTCCATTGATAGTCTAGACCACCCCCATTCTCGGTTGTGCTTTTTTTTTTTTTTTTTTTGCCCATTTTAAATCCCACTCTCACCGCTTCATTCTTTTTGCCCCTTCAGTAGGTGCCATCAGCAACAAGTGTTGAAGGTATCGTAAGCGTTACAATAATTGTCAGCCGGTAGGCAAAAGCACTCCATGTCACATAAGGGGGGAGATCTCCGATTTGAATCGTTTATCTCTGGTGGAGCTGTGGTTTCCCGGGTTTGTTACAGCTGTTTGCTCTTCACTCACCTCACCCCCTTCACCACCAACAAACCGAATCGCGTGTCGGGTACCGGTCAGAACAAACGCAATCGGGGGCTCGTGAAATCTCGTGAAATTTGATACTGTATCACAATTAGCTCAGGATAGGTTTAATTTGACAAGCTATCATAGCAGATTGGGGGTTATGGGATCAAACAAGTCCTGAGGGCACATATTATACCGTATCAAGAAAACGTTAATCCTTTTCTGGAGCTTTTGTCTCTAAGCCGGGAGAAAATGGAAGAGGTTTTGCCTGCGCTACCGTATCATATACCACGGTCGTGATAGTCTGCGGTACGAACAATTCTCATATTGGGGCACAGGAGCACAGAGCTCAGCCGTAAGCGTAGATAAATGCCTGTTATATACAGCTATTTTTATTTAAGAAACCGTTCCCAACTTTGTCGTGCAACTTTCGGAGTTTCCGCCGGGGTGCCGAGGCAGGGTACAGTACTGTCCTCGTATTCTGGAGCATAACCCACTGATCAATCGAGTAATATATTATGATAGGGGTCCGAAAGTGGTGCTTTGGATGCCTCTTTCGGGTGTTTTGGGATCCTTTTTCTGCTCCTCCTGAACAATTAATAAGTTCCTTCAGGGGCTCCGCACTCCCGGCGTATCGCTGTAGCCCAGCGCCCGGTGCATCACAGGAGGTATCATACTTGTACCAAATCGCCCATCATTCGGTAAACTATCCAAACTGGCTGAGCAATTATTAAGAGAACAATGGTTGGTACATTGGCCTTGGCGCAATTCCTGAAGATTTTGTATGGCAAAAGGCAAGGCTTGGCGCTGTTTTCAACCTCAACTTTACAATATTGCATGCCAAAGCAGTCTATAATTTTTCAATAATCTGTGAGCACTGGGAGAGGTGTTTCTAAAGAGTGTTGGACCATACTATCAATTTTTCAAATTTTTACACCTTTAGAATATATTGAACAGAAGGCATGAATATAGGTGTTTTCGGTCGGGTACCAGTAACTACCGATAATTTTTGTCGCCAGCCTCGTATATACCTGTATTTTCATCTTATGTAGCGTCTTGGAACAGCTCCGATCGGTTTGCAACGGAAGTCTTTGCACCATACGGTACTCTGACTCGAGTGCTTGCAATTGGGGCCGAAAAACGTGAACACTAAGGATTACGTCTACATTCTAAGATATACTCAGGTCGTGTGTGAGGTTCGGTCTGCTGCCTTCGGTCCCCTTTCTTACCTCAGATTTGTTTGTCTTCTTCCCGTTCCCTCTCTCTTTCTTCCCCCTTGGTAATCAACGCTTGTTCCCTCTCTCTTTCTTTCTTCCCGATAATCAACGCCCATCCCCATCTCATCAAACTCGACCCCTACGACATATTGGTTCGTTTCTTTTTCTCGTATCACTCCCGGACTGACGGCGAGTTACCGAACCCCGGAGACGATACAAATATCATACAACTCAGTAAGCATTTTTCGGTCACACATTACTGACCTGGTGGGGTACGGGGTGCTGATTTGCTGGCTTTAAATAGGCATTCGGTGTAACCAATAACCTATGGCACCGTTTCGATCTACGTTGAACTCGGGTATGTCCGTCCAATCTACCGTATTCTATGATTACTGCTAATAGAGTAGCATACTTGTGGACCAGGGTCTTGATTAGGACCCATCCCGGGCCATTTATTGGTGGAGCGTTTGCGGTTACCGGTGCACTCACAGGATCGCTCCTCCTTGTTCTAGAGAGCCGTGCGGGGCGCCGAGAGGCTGCCAAAGACCTCTCTACGAAATTTGAACATCTCGACCAGAAAATTGTGCACCTCGACCAGAAAACCGACACCATTGAAAAAACAATCCAGGAGATGAAGAAAGCGCTTGAAGATAATAAGAGAATTGCCTTTACCACAGCCCACCTTACAATGACCGCTCTATCAGGCAATAAAAAACCGATGCAACAGTTTCTCGCAGATATCGAGAAATGCATAAAATCTGGGAGAAAGGACTGTGGTGTTACTACAGCTTAAGTCAGTTAAGTCATATATAGTAATTATATCCTATATAAACATTACAACTAATACGGTATATGAAAACCAATAGGTATGATAGGAAGTTTCACCAAATATCGCACCCCACCGCAAGCACGCCTCTTCCCCCGCCTGACCCTGGCACTTGAAACCACGAACAAACAGGCAATATTTTGTGCCCCAACTCGTTTTTTTCATTCGTCTAGTATCAGTGCTTCCAGTCGTCCAGTCCGTCCAAGACGGGGTGAGGACGACGAAGGACGAGACTGTCTCGTCTTTGGACGGGACGGACTGCCTTGGCGCCGTCCTGGACGGGGTGGACGGCCATCGACTACGGACACGTAAAGTTGCGCAATGGGACAAATACTAGTGCCTAAACAAGTTAAGAAATAAAATAAAAAAATAAACATAAAAAAGAGCTGGCGCTTGAGCATCCTACCAGGGGTAGTAGTGGGACTAGCGTCGACGGCCGTCGGACGAGGCTCGTCCTCGTCCAGACGACCTTGGCGTCGTCCCGTCCGGACGAGGACGACAACCGTCCGACGGCCGTCGACGCCAGTCCGACTGGACGACTGGAAGCACTGTCTAGTATTCTTAAAGTTTTTTCTTTTTTTTCTTTTTCGGTTCTTAGAGGCTGGTTTGGCGATTCTTAGATGAGATGTTTGTTTGCGAACTCCTCCCCCCTTTTGTGCTCTGTTTGTTTTAACAGGCCATCTTACACATTTGACCCCCTCCCCTCCTAAATGCTATGTTTGGGCCGCTGTAATCCGGTCATGTTTATAGAGCCTTTGTTTTATCGTTCTTTTTTGCATTTTTTTTTTTCTGCCGTTGAAATGCCCTTTTTATAATATACGATTGACACGGTGTCCCACAAACCCCCAAGCAAGACATCGTGCACTTTTTTCCCGTGGAACATACAAAACTTATAGATACCTCCATACAGTCACACCTCGTTATAACGAACGCCAAGAGTTCCGGATTTTTCGTTCAGTATGGCGAGGTTCTGTAAGGAATTCCCTATAGCGAGGGCCGCTTGTATGGGAGCAGATGGGAGCAGGGGTGTAAATTCCTAGAGGGCTCATTCGTAATAGCGAGGTTTCCCATATAAAGAGGTCCCGTAATGGACCCTTTGTGAATTTTGCAGGGTCCTACTACTTGGTGAAAAGATCCTCCAGAGGCATACGGAACGTCTAGTCCGGGAGCAAAATCTGGGTCCTGGAGTCTCTTTATGGTCTCAAACTACCCCTTTGAGGCGCTCAAGAGCATCATCCCATATCATGTGAGTGATATTTAATGGTACAAGTATTATAACTCGATGGCGGCAAGGATATTCGCTTGGTACGGTACTATGTATCGTACTGTACTACCGGTAGTACAGAGATGGAGCTGGCCAGTACTGGCTAGGAGGGGGGCTGTAGAACTGGGAAGGCATGATGGGGACCACGATAACTATGCCATCAGGGCGGTTAGACCACCCGGCCGTCTGATGAACCATCATCACCATCGCCAGATCACCACACCTCACTCACCCGCGCAGGTGAATTTATTAAAGTATCACGGCAACGAACGAAGCAAACCAAGAACCGTTAAAACCCGAGCACTGCATCATACAGAGGGAGGTACGGCTCCTAATTTTTGCATATTTTACAATGATAGAAAGGGGTGCTCGGCTCGCAGGGGTAAGGGGCCCCGAACTTGTAAAATTCCACTAGGGATTGAGTAACTCTGACGGAGAAGTAACCCAATTCGAGGTCCTTGCCCCTGCTAGAAAAATATACAGTACGAGTACTGTACTGTACGAGTATAGTACAGAATTTTGGAAGCTGTATTCATTATTTACGAGTATCTCGGTACCGTACCACTACCTCGGGGCCGCGCCGCCGGGTGGGGGACATGGTCCGGAATTAAATTACCAGTGCTGGTGCCGGTACAGTAAGCGAGGAACGAGGGAGGTAAAGAAAATAAAGAGCAAAAAAAAAGATGGTACGGGTAGAAGATATACTTGTACATACATTTAAGGGGTGAAGAAGGAGGAATATCTGACGGGCTTATCACGGGGGGGACGTGGATTGGTTGGGGATTCTAGCGAAGGTTCTCGAATTGTGATGGGGTTTGCCTGCCTGGATGCCTGCGTTTTTATTGCCTTGTCTTGTTCTTGTCCTATCCGACCGCAAACGCCTTCTTTGCGGCAACTTCCCCCCCCCATCCTGAATCCTGATTTATTGCCTGACTGCCCGATTGCGGGTTTGGGTGTTGCATGGTACGGCAGGCGCCCTCCTCCTGGTATTGTAGGTATTATTATTGTTGGGGCACTGGGATGCGGTGGCGGGGCGGGGACGCCAGGGTGTGATCTGGTACTCGTACGAGTACGATGTATGGCGAATACCGGTATGACACCTTTTATAATATGAACACACGTTTACCTTCCTCTTGGATAATTTGTAGTGTCCCGGAAAAGCTCATTCGGCTTACAAAACCCGGAGTCCTAGGGACGGGCGCAAGGGGGGTTCGGGATAACAATACCGTTCTGAGCTCGCCGGCACTTTTAAAGCCTGCAACTATCCGCAGTGAAGATTTCCGCGTGCTTCGGCAGATGTGCCGGTACCGGTATGGTACGGTACGTGTGGTATCTCAATCCGTCGGCGGGAGGCGCGATATAGTAAGCCCCTTCCCCCCCCCCCCCTCGGGTATCGCAAAGGCGTTCTGTGCCACTGGCACACTCGTATTTATCAATCTTCTGGCTGGTTTCCAGTGATGGAAGTTCATATCAGGTCACTCGGGGCTTGTCATATGATAACTCCCGACTTGGGTTTTCCTGGGCTTTATTTATTTTTATTTTTATTTTGCTCGTAGGGGGGGTTGTCACTATTAGTCCGCCCACCGGTGACCTTTATGTAGGGGCTGCATGTATGCATGGGCGGGCGGGGGTGGTTTGGGCTTTGTGGGGTGTGCCCAGTTCCGGATATTAGGTCCCACGCATAAATTTACGGGGAACCGGGGTCGGGCTCGTACAAGTAAGGTGATAGGTTTGATTGGATAACCTCTCGCATAAGTTATGCATTCTCTCCCGACGGCGGGTGGTTCTCGTTGGAGACTCATCCCCGCTGACGCCGTAGTGTGGATATTTGACCCCCGCGCGTGGTTTCGCTAGTTAGCGCGGAGTGCGCTCATTCACGGTAGTGATATCATAGCTGTTCTGAAAATTATCGGAAGGAGAGCTGAATGGAAAGTTGGGATGGGCTGATCCCTTGTGCGGGGTACTTGTACGGTTCAACAGGCGGACCGCAAACATAACCGTCACTGCTATACTTCCACATTTTCTCCAAACAGTCCCAGCGATAACGTAGGGAAATGCAAGAGTAAATTCTTGGCAATACTCCAGATGTATTCCTCTCTCGTGCATTATACTAGTAGGGTGCGCCCATGAACTATTATATGATACTACCAGCCCCCTCTGACTTTATAAGACTCATGTTGGTCCGTCTTCCCGACGGCACCTCCAAATTTAAAGCCCTCCTCTCTAGTCCCAGGTAGGACATCACAGCATAGTCAGGGACGCATAGTAAGATCGTAGGAATCTGCGCCCCGAGATCGGAGAAACCAAGTGAGCGGCTCGCTTTTGTCCCGTGGAAAAGTGGCGAGATTGTTTTGACCATTTGGTGAGGTTTCGTGTGGACTCGTGGGAACTGTATATCTGATAAACCAGACCTCATTTTTATGTTTGCGTTATTTGAACTACTTATACCTCTACCCTTTGGGAGTTCCCTTGTGGTTTTGGTATTACCCCTAGAACTAGTTCTCCCAAAACCCTCATTGACTCCCCAAAATCCCGTTTCCTGTGTCATATCATAAGGCACGATCTTTCAACACCCCAACGCTACATGATAGACCGTCCAATAGTAGGCCATTTGGAGGGGAATTGATATCCGGGGGTCTAGCTAGTTTCTAGAGATTAATTGGTCCTTGACATATTACCCACAACACCAGATATGATTTTCACGGACATTGCTTATACTGCTCGCCGGCGGATTTAGACCCTTCTCCCTATGAGACGACGAACTATATTGATAAACGTTAGATAAACTACACTGGAATGGATATACCCTCAAGAGAAGAAAAATCATAAACCGTTATCACATGCAGCTAACTGCCCCTTACTGTGCAGAAGAGGAATCACAACCGGAATATCAGCGTTGAAAAGAGGTTATACTTGGCCCTGGATAGGGAGAGATTTGTAGGAGGTTACGTATTGAAGATGCTGCTGAGGGCCACGGGCACCAACCCGTGCTCTGCATTGAAAAGTGTGCGAGTATGGCAGGGGTGTAATAGTGTGATTTGCGTTCTTGCTGCTTGTCGCCCGGGCCGGGGTTTTGCCAGTACGGATTGTGTTTTTGACTTCATGTCTTGTCACTCGGGGTGTATGGTCGAGATGAGAGTAGGTCTCATCGTATCCTACTCATATACAAATGGTCGCTGAAATCCCCTTCTGGTGTAGAGAAATTACCCTAAACTCAACCCTTGGTTGATATAGGAGAAGAAAGAATAAATACACAGTGCCTTACCATAAGAGGCGATTACGGTGTCCTAGCACATCCCTCTTAGGTTTTATCTACTTAAAGTACAGCTCTAAGTGCGGTTGAGTCCATTTAATCGGGCATCGTCTTGCAAGTAGATAACGAATGTATGGATAAGCACTTAGGAGGACTTTGAGCTGCCAGGGACTATGGTGTGATTTTAATATAGGAAAAATAAGGGAATAAGGGGGAATAGACATGATTCATCCCCAATCACCACAAATGTGAACAATCATAATCTAAGAAGGTGCGGGGGTTGTAGTGGCTCCCAGCTCCTCCAGCGCCACATTGGGATGCAGTACAAATACCGTCCTCCCGGCCTCCGCGCTGCTTCCTTCTGCTGCCTCACCAACTAATCCCTCTCCGCGGATTTGCATCAAGATGTTGTCCTATGTAAACATTAACTTTTGACTTCGTCTAAGAAACGGGGAGTAACAAACCTTGACCATGCGCTTAAGAACCTTGCCGATAAGCGCCTTCTCCTCCTCGAGTTCCTCCTCAGTGTTGATTTCCTCTTCCCTCATCTCAAGATACCATGTCTTAAGCTCCTCTTCCTCAACACCCTGTCCGGTTGTCATTTCATCGTCATTGATGCGACGTACAATAAGGTTGAGAATCTGCATGTATCGGTCGTATGTAATGGTCGTCTTCTCCCGAAGCGGTTGGCTACTGGACATGCCCGGGGTGGAGACTGCGGCAGTAGGTTCGCGGCTTTCTTGATCCATATCTTCCTGCATCTCTTCATCCGCCTCGTCATCGACCTCGACGTCGTCCTTCTCCACGTGAATGATGGATTGCCGGAGAAGACCAAAAGCCTCGTTTACGAAACCTTCTGTGACATCTTCTACACAATTGGCCTTGGCGATAGCCTCAGAAAGACGAATGAGAGATTCGAGCTGACGGACAGTGATTCGGTAACTATTTCTCCCAACGCCGCCTTGAGCATCGTCCGCGCGCAGCTCCTTATATTTCTGAACAAGAAGCGTGCGGGCTTCCTCTGTGAATACGGGGCGGAAAGTTCGGGCGAATTTGATATATCGCTGTAGCTGCTCCGTGGTAAACTCTGGGGTGATGGCCGCATCTCTGTTACGATGGAGCCCTACAATGTGTCGGGCCAGGTGGGTATCGATCGCTTCGTTGCACTCGTCAAGGACGACAAAGAAGAGATCGAAACGGGACATGATAGGCGCAGACATGTTAATATTGGACCGGAGGGTGGTCTTCCGGTTGTACCGGCCTCCTACAGGGTTCGCTGCTGCAAGGATGGATGTTCGAGCATTGAGAGTGGCCTGGATACCAGCTTTTGCTATAGAAATTGTCTGCTGTTCCATGGCTTCGTGAATTGCTACCTGGTCCGCAATATCCATTTTGTCGAATTCATCGATAGCACAAATACCGTTGTCCGCCAACATCAATGCACCAGCTTCGATGGTAAATTCACCGGTTTCTTCATCCTTGACGACTGCTGCTGTGAGACCGGCTGCCGAAGAAGCTTTGCCGGAGGTGTATACGGCACGCGGGAGAAAGGAGCAAACATATTTCAGGAACTGGGACTTGCTGGTGCTGGGATCGCCCACAATACAAATATTAATGTCTCCGCGAAGACTCATGCCTTCTGGAGTCACCTTATGAACACCCCCCATGAGCTGAAGTAGGATCCCTTTTTTGATGATTTCGTGGCCGTAAACAGTGGGGGCTATTGAGTTGACCAGACGTGAGTAGATATGGTCACTGTGGACCATGCTCTTGAGTTCTGCGATTTCGGCTTGTGTTAGCGAGTTTAGGAAGTCCTCTTGCTCTCGCTCATCGTCACCCATTTCTGCCTGAGTGCCTCTCAGAAGGCCTTGTACCTCTTCTTCCTCTACACTCTTTCGCAACCCCGCGCCAGGAACCCCACTTGTATCGCTCGTGACCATGCAGGCGAGAAAAGCCAATCGGTAAGTTAGATCTCTTACACCCAGACTCTTTAATCCCGTAACACCTGTGCTTTCTGCTCCGCCTCGTGGAGCATTCTTCATGTCCTTCATACTCTGTGCTTTCAACCCCGGCAATCCCAACATGCTGACATCAGGGACCACGATTAATGTCCCAGTAAAGATACATTTCTCCCCAGCTTTTGCTCTCTCTACGATTTCGCCTCTTAATATGATGTCGAGAGTCCTCGGCATGCTCCCCGTAGGGATTTCACCAGAATTCTCCTGCACACGGACCTTTTGCCAATCTACAAAAGATGACCGCTTAATTTCCAATCTCCAGCTGACGCGGTTACCGCAGGTAAGATTGGGGCACTGTGTGGGTTCCGTATACCGAAATGTTTGCTCAATACCGGGTATTTCAGTACGGCAAGCTTCGCAAGTGAATGTAGCCAGCAGCAGTTCGGGACGGACTTCGGAGGTACGAGTGACGGTCGCTGATATGGAGGTTAGAGTACCAATTTGAAGGGTGCGTAGAGAACGGATGCGAGTAGTAAGCGGAAGATTGAAGATTCCCAGAGAGAATATTTTGTCGGTAGTGTGGTTAACCTACGTATACAAACTTAGCGGGGGATCTTTATTCATCAAACACAATGGCAAAAGGTGGTGGAACGGTAGAATGATGCAAAGAGAGGAACTATTCTGGTGACAGGTAATCGATATGAACCTACATTCTCGGATTGACCACCTTTCCCGGCCTTCCCCCAATACTCAGGTTCATATCGTCTAATACAAGTCTCTAATCCTCTCTTCAAAAAGGGCAAGAAACGGTAATGCCTCTCTGTTATTGCTTCGGCAAACCCTTTCACATGTGTGTTGCTCCAGTATGTTAAATGTGCATAATCAACGAACAGCGTACTTGACTCGGTGACTGCCATGCTATGAATGGCAGCAATGTAGTATTTGTCGGTGGTGGGCGGGGCGGCCACCGCAGCAGATGACGGAGGTGGTGGCGGGTTATCCGGATCTTCGATAAAACTATAGCGATGTGAGTTAATGCGAACGAAGTACAGGAGTAGGCAGACTGAATTTACTTTTCTAGAAAGCCAATAAAAGCATTCATGATTTGGTCACCGGCTTCATCGGTGACCTTTGGGACCTGGCTCAGGTCGGTTCTCGGTCGATTAGTCCGATTTACAGTTCCCCTTGCTCCAACAACCTCATCATCTGGGTCTACATCCATTTGACCATCATCGCTGGTGCCATCCGGTGGCCCGGGGGCACTGGATGAGAACCTGACTGAGGAAGGTGTAGGGTTATCTCGGGGACGAGAGCGGGGAGCAGGATCTGGTAGATCTGAGGATAGAACTGCATCTGCTAACGATGACATGGCGAATTTAGGGAGAGAATTGCTGCGGCTTCGATGCTTGGAGGAAGGATGGGCCTTGTTTTTGTTTCTGTTTGTAGGGGGATCGAGTATAGTTGTGAATTGAGGGGGCACAGAATGGTGGAGAGACGCGTATCATACGGTAGAACGAGAACGCGAGAGAAACTTGCCAACCAATAAGGGGTGCAACCACTTACTGCCGCTTCAGGACTAGCTATCATAATTATCATACTCCAGGTTTATATTTTTTCCCCATCTTATCTAATCGATCATATTTTGGTACATACCCGATTGGCAAACAACGAGCATGTTTAATGGTTGGAGGCTTGGAGCTGCCTGGGAACCTCGTCGGAATAGCGATGCCCTACCTTCCAACCCCGACATCCAATACCCCGATACCCTCAACTAAGAAATGGGCTGATTGTTATCGACCAAACTTATTGCCATCTCAAATTTCCCTTTTCCCGAACCTTCAACAATCCCCCCGCCCCTCCCTCGCAAAATGTCCACTATAACTAATCTATACCCCCCCTCCTCCCATGCTCTCCCGCAGACCCCTCTTACCCCGACAACAAGGCATATGGTCCTTTGGATCCACGATCCAGATGGCTCACCCACCCTTTCCAAACGTGAGGCGGTCTTAAATTATGATCTCTTTCCTCCTCATGTCGCGAGACCCGGAGACATTGCCGAAGTAAAATTGATGTCTTCGTCGTCCACCGGAAATGCATCTGATGACAGTACAGCAATGGGTGGAGAGGCTATGGAGAGGAAGAAGAGCTATACCAATTCGACTATGGAAGAGGAGGGGACTGGGGTTGGTGGAAGGGTAGGGGGAGTAGGAGGAGGGAGTACCAAGGCGGAAAAGAAATTTCTGTTTGTGATACGGGAATTGGAACCCGAGCAACGCGCAAAACCGAACCTACAGGTTGGGCCCTAAATGCCAATTTTCATGGAGTTTTAACTCATTGGGTTTAGATCTCGCTGGCTCGGCATGTTGCTGATTTATTCGGGTTTCACTCCAGGGCTACTGTTACTGTCACAATTGTATGTTCCACAAGCCCGGGTTTCGTATGCACTATCTTACTAAAGACCATCTTAGATCGATAAAAACCTTCACGAAGCCTCTCATGTTGAAATTTACTTCCGAGACCAGTATATCTCCCGCAGTGATATGTGGCGCATGGCTACCACATTATTAACAGACACCTGCCCCTACAACGCACAAAAGCTCCTCTTTATCTCCTCAATCCGGGGAAGCGTTGGGAACATCTGGGTACGTGGGCGGAAGGTCCAATCTGCGTACTTTTCGCCACGGACTGTCCCAATATTTCGCTCAGAGTCGGCCCGCTACGTTCTTTTCATACAGATGAGCCGGGAGATGTGGCACTTTGACACCGACGATGGTGGAGATGGTGATCAGGGCGAAGGGGGTGGAGGGGTGGGTGGTGAAATAGTCTTTAACAAGCTTATCAATGGATTCTTGCCTGAGCTATTCAAGCGCTGGAAAAGAATTAATGCGCACCATCTGGTTTCCATCGTTTTGTTTACAAGAGTAGTTTATGAGCATGAGGAACCAGTAGGGGTCCTGAATGGGAACGGAAAAGAGAGCGAAGAGTTTCTAGGAACTCCTGGAGGGATAAACATTGGTGAGGGGAGACGCTATAGAGATTTTTATCGCGTTGTGGTCTCCTCCATGGCTAGCTCAGATTGGACCATTATCCTCCACCGTCTGAAAAAGGAATTTTCAGTCTTCCTCCGGGATATCCTCGTTCTTCCAATAACAGATGATGAATTTCTACCCGAATCCAACCAAACGACACCTATTTCAAGTGCCGCAGATTCCATGGCTTCTCGGCCAGGTACACCATCTATCCCTACCTTCATCGACATGCTTCGGCCCGCATCGTCTTCTACAAGCTCTCAACCCTCCCCTCGAATTCCTCCGCACAAATCTATTCCCGGTGCGCAACGCAAAAAGCAGCCAAGAATGATCATCACTGGGCGACCTTCCGCCGCTATCCACGGAAACATATTGGAAGCAATAAACCTAGCGACACTCCAATTCAGCAAAGACCATGTCGACCGCGATCTTGTTCGCACTGGAATTAGTGTTGTAATCATAACTCCTGGAACTGGCCATTTCGAAGTTGATTATGATATGCTAAAGGCTACAACAGAAGGGCTGGTCATGACCGGCATGGGAGTGGACCTAGTCTGCCTTAGCAAAGTACCCCTTCATACCGTCCCCCTTTTCAAGTACCGCAGCCCCATCCCTATTAGTGTCCTTGCGAAGCAGGAGCAAGGTTCCCCTAAGGTCCTCCCCCGAGGTCTCAGTCCACCAAAAGTGACTATCACGCCGTCGGGCGCTGCGGCCCCCGATCGTAGCCAGGGAGAATGGGTGTACTCTGTTCCTCATTGGATAGATATTTCCTTCTGGAGCGCTGCTTCCGAGAAGAAAATCAATAAGCGAGGCCGCGTTGAACAGAAGAAAGAGAGGAAAAAGCCCGCTAGTGGATTTCGTGCGAGAGCGAAGATGTACGAATTACAAATGATGGGTATAATGGAGAACGAAATTTCGGAAATATCCATTCCATTCCTGCACGATAACCCTTTTTGGAAACCATTGCCCATGGAGGAGGAGCCGACACAGACAGATGGTATCAACACAAAAGGAAGTGTCAAGCTGGGGACTGCTAACAGCACAGCAGCCCCAGCAAAGTTCTCGAAAGAAGCCTTTAAATGGATGGATGAGTACGACGATGCAGCGTTCCGTCCGTTGTCCGACTTGAAAGCGCGAGAAAAGGTGGCATTAGACCGCCGGACCGGCGGCGAGGATGCAGAAAAGATCGAAAAGACCCTGGAGGAGGTTGACCCTTTAGTACTTGGCACAAGTTTCCATGGCGAAGCGCCGGGTCGCCAAGTCAGCTTACCTGGTGGGGCATTCTTTGATAGGAAGATGAAGGAACGGAGATCAGAGCTTGAAAGCCCAGTTGAATCAAGAGAGGAGATTCCTAACACCAGAATCGCCGGCACACCATCCGCTGCCCCACCCTCATCCGGGGTTCTAAAGCCCAGCAGGTTGGGTTTGGTCCGAAATATTAGTTTTGGGTTCAAGTCCTGGGGCTCTGCCAAAGCCACTGCAAAGACAGGAATAGTCAGCACGGAAGCGACGGCAATTGCCGCCGGACCCCCGAGTACCGGTGGCCGCGGGGTTATGGTTACTAGGGGGTTTGATACTAGTGAAGCTACAACACCCAAAAGCCCTCTATCGCCCAGAACCACCCACTTAGAGGAAAGCCCGACCACAGCTGGAAGTCTGAGGAGCCCTGAAAAGTTAGGATGGGGAAGCAGGCCTATTTCAATCAAAAATAATGCGATAACCTCGCTGGAGGCAGCTGGGCGGGATCGAGATCGCCGGAGGAGTATTGTAGGCAGCCCTCTGGATCGCGCGGGCATGCTTAGAGAGCGGGAACGGGAATCCGTTGATATACTGAAGGTTCCCAATTTAACAAGGCATGGACGACCCAGCGTTGATCTTGTTGCAAACGCAGAGAAAACCGCAACAATTCCACCTACCGTTAGTCCAACGAGCGCACTTTCACCATGGGTACAAGTACTCAATCCGAGTAACCCGAAGAAAAGCATTCCAAGTGCTGTAAACCAATTCCGGCGTTGGCATCACGTATTTCCTAAACCGATCAAGATCTCCACCGTCAAATGGAAAAGCCTTTGTTCTCCAGCTGCTCTACCATTGACGACCGAGCACTTTCCGTCGGCAGAACAGCTCCGTGACGGGTACCAGGAAAATCCATATGTGATCTCCCAAAATGCAGATTATGATGAGATAGAGGAGAGCAGTAGCAGCAACCGCGAGGAACTCGTTCGCGCAATGATATCACAGCGACTGGCACAAGGTTTCCAAATTGTCGTCGGTAACTCAGTGGCAGAGGCCACTTCTGGGCGAGGCGGTGATGTTGACATATACTCAAAGACCTACATGGTTAAAGCAGGTAGCTCTTGCTTCATGAGCCTCGGCTCGCAGATCCATCAACTTATCTGTGATGAGGAATACAATGTTGAGGTGAAGCGATATGTACGCAAACCGACAACTGCGATAGGCCTACCTAAATCCACAACTGCTAATGAGTATGTCAGCTATATGAAGACGGTAATGGGTGAGGAGTATATCCCCGTCAAAACCGCGTTCAGGTTGCCGATTGCAGAGTACAACTGGAATTACGTTGACCAATATATCGGTGGGTATGAGGACACGTTAACAGAGCAACTTCGGTACTGGCGCGCGCGATTCGTCTTAATACCAAATGATCCACCGGAATCAGCTAGGAGAGGGCTTCTGGGCCACTCGAATGGCGGCGAGTTGAATGATGAGGAGATCAGATTGGAGGGCATCAGAAGACTCACGCAGGTATTCCAAAGGAATAGGTACATCCCGCCCGAGGAAAGGCAATACGAGAGATACGGAAAGCGGAAAGCAAAAGAGAAAAATCCTCTCCAGATTCTATATAAAACTGTGGACCCAAGTGTTGTAGTAGCGCAGGAGTTGGAAAGTCTTCCACTCATCGAAGATCCTACCAACAATACACGCCGGAGCCAGCTTCTCACGACGGAGGTGTTTGAGAAGAAAAATCTTGACCTGAAAGCCATCGCACAAGAACTCCAAGGCCCTAAGGGTGTCCGTCTCCAAGACCGCCGCTGGCATCTCAGATTCCACTCGAATTGTTTCATTGGAGAAGATATGGTAACATGGATCGTGGAAAACTTCAAAGACGTCGAAACAAGACAGGAAGCGGAAGAAATCGGGTTAAAACTCTTCAAAGCGGGATTATTCCAGCATGTGGACAAGCGTCACCAATTCCGAGACGGAAATTACTTCTACCGAATCGCGGAAGCTCACGCTAACACCCCGAGGCCCACCTCCAAGGGAGGCTGGTTCGGTGGATTCAAAAGCGACAAACCTGTACCACCTGCGCCCGCATTCGATGTCGCTTCGAGCCCGTTGCGGAGTAGGAGTAGCACAATCGTGACAGATGAGGGCTCGGAAACTTCTTCCATGTCGGGATACCGAACACCAACCCCCACACCGGCAACCAAGAAGAAGGCCGAAGTGGAACTCAGCAAAGTGATGAAATATGACATCGACCCATCGCGAAAGAGTTACCGGAAGGAACTTATAAACCTTCATTACGACCGCCTACATAACCCTGACAACTGCTATCACATTCGCATTGACTGGATGAACACAACCGCAAAGCTGATCGAAGACCAACTCGCCTCTTGGGCGCGTACTATTGATCGTTACGGGCTCAAGTTAGTAGAAGCACCCATTGACGAAGTTTCCACGATCCCCCGTACAAGTCCCTTCCACAGCCAGTATATTTTCAAGTTCTGTATCCCTCCACCCCCACCTCCTCCAATGCTATCAACAATCTCACCCACTACCGAATCTATGGATCTCTCTCCAATCCTATCTCCAACCCAACCAGTCCCACCACCCCACCCCACCCACAACCAAAGTGATAATCGCTTTTACCACCGCCTTGCTCTCCGAAAGCTTGGCTTCGTCCTCGATACAGAGGCAGCAAAGAACTTTCCCCCAACAGTGTCCGTAAAGTACTCCTGGGGGACGCCAAACTACCGCCACAGTCAGTATATCCACCGCTCGGGCGTGATATTCTGCCAAATTACAGATGATGGCTCATTCCTGCTAATGGCAAACCGGCAATACGCCATTCGCGCAACAATTCTCTGTCCACCGCCATCGGTAGGAATCGGCTCCGGCGTAGACGTTACGCCAGAGTCGGTGAAGGATGAGATCGAGAGCTTTTGTAAAGACCCAGAGGCATTGCGGAAGTTTTACGACGAAGCCAATGGACGAGTTGGCGGCGGGGCAGTCGTTGGCGTGGGGTCAGTTACGGGGGGAAGTGGCATGGGGACATTGGGCAGTCCGGTTATTGGGCCGGTGGGAGCAGGGAGTCCGACCATGGGGACCAGCGTCGTGCATGCTCATGGGGTTGGGAGGGCGACTAGCATGAAGAGTGGGAGGAGTAGTATTGTGGATCTTGTGCCGGAGGATTTTGTATTAGGGAGGGGAGGATATGAGCCTGGGCCGGGGAGATGACGGTACTTGTAAAGGGTAGTTTGTATATTTCGGTTAATGTAACCTGAGCAGGAGCGTAAGACCGGTTAAACACTTGCATTTCCCTGGCCATTGGTTTGCCTGCAATTTTGCCAAGACTCGAGTGATATCATGTGCCCCGCTTCTTGATAACATCACTCTCTTAGGAAAATGTCGAATTGGGTTGAGCCAGTTTCCTGCCCTCTGAATGGCCCTGAAGCACAAGTTGAGACAAAAGCTAAGATAATTTCTAATCAAAAGAAGGTTTTCCACGAATCAGGCAGACACCCCCGGGTTCGGTCCCGTTCGCTACCCGAGTAGAATACTCCTTGAATATGACAGCAGGTATTCGAAAACACGACCAGCGCCACATAGCCACTCTACCTGCAAAAAAGAGAAGAAAACACAGTCTGATTTTCAGGTGCCGTACCATAAACCCGGGCACACACCGAACACAACTGAGCCCAACCCTCCCAGAGACTGGACAACACGAGTGATAGACCTCAAATCTTTACAAAAGGTAATAAAAGAAGACTTAGTGAGCCCCCACGAACTTACACCAAAGACCACATTAATCAGCCCAGTGATGTTCATTAATTAGGAAATTTTACGAGCGTCAATCACATATCACACCATCGAGGACATAACGACGCGCGCGGGCTCTCTGGAACGTCGAGAGGACAATCACACACTATTTCCGGAAAGCAGTAATTCCGGGGCAATAACGACAGGGGCATTTGCCCTCTGGAAGATATGCGTCCAGCTTCGAGAGCCATCACATCACCGCTCTCGCCATTAGTGCTACGATATACTCCACAGCGGGATACACCTCCAAAAACCCATCCCCCACTCCTCGCCCAATCTCTCAACAGCAATATTTTCATACCCTTCCTTAAGGTTTGTTAGGTAAATACCCTATCCACTGAGTTCAAGGTGATAGGCGCTGCGCCCGCCGAACACAGCTCGACGGCCTCCCGGGGGAAGAATATCTGACGAGAAAGCAGTGCTCTATTACCGGTTTAGGCCCCGTCTCTTAGCTTGGCCCCGTCAGTGTGCGCGGCGTCATAGTGACCTAGCGCCCGGGTCGTGGACTTCAGGGTGTGAGAAAAATGGATGAGAAAGCGGCGATAGGTCTCGCCGAGGGAGGCCTGGGCTCTGAAGCAGCTGCGCGCATCAGTTGACCTGTAGTCCTAGACGTGGAGTATTGCGGGCAGGGTGGCCGCGAATGTGTGTGTTTCGGGGGCTTGCGTATCCGGGAGGAGTTCACCTAGAAGGTCTACTCTATTGGTAAGGCCTGATCTCGATTGAATGGATTAGATATCATAACGGCTCCGACCGCGGCGATAGCCCCGCCGGCACCGGCAGCCTGCCTACTACTCGTGCCGGGGTTGTGGTGCTCCGGAGCGCCTGCCGGCTCAGCATGACTTTACCTGATGGAACGCAATGCCGTGGTATAGATGGCCTTTTTGGAATGCTTCCCGGTAGTTTTAGTTTACCAAATATTATGATATTTTACTTTACAGCTCAACATGACTTGTAGCTCAACACAACTTTCCGTAGCTCAACACAACTTTTTTTATGGCTCAAAATTGTGACTCAATATTACTTTGAGGCTCAATAAAACTTTAAAACTTAAAGAAACTTTATAACTATATATAACCTTGTAGTCCTGGATAATCAAATACTGGTAGATTGATATAATTTCAGAGTTATATTGTAGTATAAGAAAGCTAGATAGTTGGTGTTAAGAATCCTACCGATAGTAGGGTTAGAATGATAGGTAACAATTTGTACTTAACTATGAGGTGATAGTTCTTAGGCCTATGCCTATGCGATTATGATAGCTGAGTTCTTCTAACTCCTATCTTGTCACGCCTATCCCTCTAACTTCTTAAGTTCTCGCTTAGGACTTATTCTTTCATCATGGGAGGAGAAATAGTTCTTGAGTTTCTTAAGATAAATCTTAAAGAGCGTAATGGTTGGTTTTATGGTAAAATAATAGGTGTAGGAAATAAACAAGAAGAACGTGTGAAGAGCCCATACTTGGGGTCCTAGTGACTCTTTATATATTTGCTCTTTACCTCACATGACTCATATCTTGTGTCACACGAACCCTATGACTCGCAACAGTGAGTCATGCGAAATTCCTCAGCTGACTCCTATGAGTTACTTCGCAACATACCTAAAACCAATTAAAACATAATAACTAAATCAGGTGCGCAACTTGCGTCATCTGAGCCAAACCCATGACTCATAATCTGAGTCATGTGCGAAATTCATAACATCGTGTGACTCACAACTGTGAGTCACAAACAAATAAACATAATAACCTATGGCGCACAAATGTGTGTCATGTTAAATCCAATATACCTATAACTCAGAACTCCGAGTTATGTGAAATCTGCCTTGTTTAGTCACAGTTTGTGACAGTTGGATAGAGTCTTATAGTAAAATATTACTTTGAAGTAGAGTAGAATTTCTATAGCTTAATAGAACTTTACAGCTTCCAAGAACTTTGTTATTAAACTTGAATGGATCTTTGTAGCTTAAAATTCTAAATAAAACCTATTGAGCTTCAAAGAACTGTGTTATTAAACTTAGATTAATCTTTTGTAGTTTAAAATTCTATCCAACATCTTGTAACGGGGGCTCCCTCAGGTAGATGGTTTCCAAGGATGTGACCGCACCAAACTTCGAATCTCTCAAACACAACTCTTGTAAAGTGTAAAGAATAAAAGAAAACGGTAAAACTTAATATTGTTAAGCTCTGGCTTATCTCAATTAAAGTCTCTCGAGAGGATGTTGATTGTGTCGGGGCAGCAGAGTTCTCGTATAAGCTTCTAGTAGTCAGACTTATACCAGAAACTCCCCCATCAGGTTGCCCCGACCAACATGAGCATGTCCTTCTCCGTAAGGGTTGCCGGCACCATTACCGCATCCCCGAAGGGCTCAAGGTGTCAGCGCACTCTAGTAGAAATCTTCCATATGCACATCAGTTCCTGCGAGGCGTTACCAATACGCCTGCCGGAGTGAAAACTTCTGCGCATCGGTGTCTCGCCAGTGGCTAACTGTCGAGTCACCTAGGAAAGCTAACTAAATGACTCTCTTCCCATGTGCTATGATCTATGCAAGCACCTGTAGACATCAGGTGTCCTCCGGTTAAGTTCTATCTTCCTTGATTGCGAACTTACGGGGTCTTCGATGCTCCCATGTAGAGCTGTGTCAGTGGTGGGACCCGTGGGCGCTACCCATGGTCCCTTACCCCTGACACACCACTCAGCATGATAAGTATCATGCTATTAGAGTCTTCCAACAACCCATAAAGAGCCTACAGCAAAGGGGCATGTGTAGGCATGATTGGTGTAAAACCTTCCCAGAGGTCTCCGGCACTACCCAGGACTACTCTGGGGACCCTTCCGGATAGCTTATGCTAACTCCGTCAGTTTTGGTCCGTTTTACTCCGTTCTTTTTGGAGAAGGTACTTGACCTTCTCACCTTGGCCCCCTTATATTTCCTGTGAACAGCCTACGGTCGGACGGACGGCAGCGACGTATACAGTGTTATGGACATGTCTTCAATAATTCCATTTAACTAGTAAGATGGCAACTTCACCCATTTAGACCCATGACGCCCGGGGCGAACCCTGGGGCCGCAGGTACCTGTTAGGAATAATCCTACCAAGTTACAGCATGTTCGGAGCACTCTAGCTCCTCCCGTAGTCTTCTAATCAATGTGCAAGCATGTGCCCGTCGATCATCGTTGTGCAACAAAGAATCCTAACCTTACACGGAATCCTTCCGAGAACGTTTCTGACAGAAGGTAGGGTAATAGTGTCCCAAAGGTAGGGTAAGTATGTCCATGGTGACACGAAACTGGTCTCCATGGCCACGTAACGTGACTTACCTAGACAGGGTAAACTCACCTGGCCTTCCGACCTATCCTTAGGCCAAAACCGATATAGTCACGTTACTTCCACTAGTTAGGTACACCTATATCTTAAGTACCTTCTGTTCTTTGGGATACGTGGACCATCGGGTATCTCCCGGACATGCTCAGGCATGCCCGCCTAGCCTACCATATAACCTCTTAGCCTTATGTATGGGTATAGACTTAGGTTGCCATAGCTCTATAACGTAGGGTCGTTACACATCTATTGAGTTTTAAAGAACATTATTATTAAACTGGAACTTGAATGAATCTCTGTAGCTTATAATTCTATGTAAATCCTATTGAATACAATATTTTATCTTATATCTCTAGGTATTTAAACTAGAGCGTAAGAGCTATTAGTATTCATTACCAAAGGGACTTCCTGAAAAAATTCTATGAGGTTATCCTGTTCTTTACTATGTCTTTGTCTGACTAAAGCCTGGGCCTCTCTTTTCCCTTTACATTATTATTTCTACAACTAGATCATGTCTTCAATATCTCTTATACTACTAGTGGGAAGGGCTGTGAGGATTCCTTTCTGTACTACTATGTATTATAGAACCAATATGACTAGAAATATTCTTTATTTGAAAGGTTTCAGAATCTGCATGATATATGACCCAGGTTACAAGGTCTAATTCTGGTATTGTATCCTGTAAATGGTAGTACTTACTTGTATGCTGAGAATAACTAGAGTACTAGTATTAAGTAGCATCCTACTTGTATTCAGAGTTCTGGTACCTGTTACAAACTTTGACTAAGTAAGCCAGATTTTATATAGCTTGAGATTCTGAGTTGTAGGTATGTTGGGTTTTGACATGACAGGCAATAGCAACTTCAAGTTATAGGCATCAGCAAAAATCAAAGCTTGCGTCCTGTGTATCCTGTGTGTCTGAAGCAGAGGACATACAGGATGCAAACTGTTAATCAGAATGCAAGATGGCAGCTACCAAATCTCAGGACGCAATGGTCCTTGAGGGCAGAACTCAGGACGCAGCCAGAATGCAAGTGAGCCTTGGTATCAGAACTTAGGATGCAGCCAGAATGCAAGTGCGCCTTGGTGCCAGAACTCAGGACACAGTCAGAATGCAAGTAAGCACTACTGCAATTTACAGGATACAATAGCAGAATTAGACCTTGTGACCCAGGTCATATCTGTAGATTG